AAAGTTCTCTATCTGTTCCTGAAGTTGATCCACTATTACAAAATTTGACTTTGTTCCAAGATTCACACCTGCTATATAAGATTTTCACCTGCTCTTGTCAATTTATTCGTTATACATGCTATATTTACTAAGAACACTATTCAGTCAAGTTCAAATTCAAGCCTCAAAAAATCTGATTAACTGCTTCATTATACCCTATCCAACACCGAAACCAGGTTTATTGGGTTAGTTAATGCTGGTTAGTATATACGGTATATACATGAAATAATGGTATACATCAAAATATTGAAAATAAGCCATGCATATTCCTTGCAGTCAAACAGATAATTTAAAAATAATACTTTGGATGTTGGGTAAAAGTCATAGTTTACCACTTGTCCAGATTGGTTACCCATAACCACAGTTACATTATTTGTCAATGGAACAATAAAATCTTGCTTTAGGTTTTAAAACAAGCCAAATATCTTTAAAAAAAACAAGAGGCCCAGAGGGCCTGTGTCGTTCACCTGGATTTTTATGAGCAACAGTACTATATCTGTGCATATGTTCCACAGTAGATGTTTAAAACAATAAGACAAATTATTCCATATTGGTTCTGTCCCTTAATAGTCAGCCCCCTCATCTGTGCAACGTTGAATTGAGACTTTCTTATGATGTTTCCAGTTAAATATAATTGATAGCTTTCTTTCAAATCAAGGAAAGAAGATGGTCAATTAATATAGCAGAAAAACTCTTAGTTATAGCTGGACGTATGACCCAGGACAGCAGAAGCTTACTTGCCCTTTAGATCATTGTTTACAAACACAGATACAACATATTTGAGACTTACCTAAGTCAACAATATATAGCAACAATTAAATATAAAGACCGGAAAAATTAAGGTACATGTAATCATAAACCATAATCCTAACTCAAAACCAATAATAAAATGTTTCATGCATATCATTAGTGATGTCACCATGGTCAGTTAAGCCCCGGGTACTGGAGATAAACTGATAACAGTTTACTGTAGGCCTATAAACACTTCATAGCAAATGGGATCAACTTTGAATGAAGCTCTTGCAATTCTCTTTCCGATCATGTTTTCTGTATTTCAATGCTGTGAATAGAACACAAGTAAATGGCTAACATGTAGTTTTTCACATGACTTAGCTCAAGCCTCTCGGACCTCCAGGGGGCTTAGCCTAATCTACTTTTTGGAACAGTGTGACATCACTGTGAAAGGTCTTATAATTTATTCCAAATTATGCCAAGAAAATTCCCAGCCAAATATATTCCTTTAATAAGTCATTGGAAGGTTCTACATATTTGTATATAAACCTTTGTGAAACTTTCACTGGCCAAATATGATAGCCTTTGGTCAATCAGAAGTTGTTAATGATTTTACCAAATTTAACCCCAGTGACCTTAAATACTTTTATGGGTCAAGCTATTTTTTCACACACTATGTGGGCACCATAAAGGGAACTTTTTGGCTAAATATTATGATCCTGGTCCTTTAGGTTATTCAGAAGTTGTTCAAAGGTTTAACACATTTGACTTTTTTGACCTTGAATATGGGTCAAGGTCATTTCTGTTCTCAAATATTACCAGACATCATTGAGAACCTATTTTAGAATAATATCTCTATCCTAGATGTTTTGGATAATCAGAAAATGTCATTTAAAGGTTTAACACATTTGACCCCTATGACCTTGAAGATTGGTCAAAGTAATATCTTTTTGCAAACTTTCTTGGACTTTATAAAAGGAACATAATGGCCAAATATAATGATTCTAAGCTTTTCGATATTTCAAAAGAAATTGTTCAAACATTTTAACACATTTGACCCCTATGACCTTGAAGATTGGTCAAGATTATTTCTTTTAGCAAACTTTGTAGGACACCATAAGAGGAACATAGTAGCCTAATATAATGATTCTAGGCCTTCCAGTATTTGGGGAGAAGTCATTTAAATGTTTTAACACATTTGACCTCTGTGACCTTGAATATGGGTCAAGGTCATTTCTTTTTACAACATCAAAGGAACCTTTCAACCAAATATGATAACTCACGCCTTTTGGTATTACAGAAGACGTTTAAATGTAAAGTTGACGGACGCAGGACGGACAAGACGACAGACGCAGTGCTATAGCATAAGCTCACTTGGCCCAAAGTGAGCTAATAAAACTGCTCTGAAAATATATGCATTAGTATATAATCAAGATTTTGGGGTATTAAGTAAGGAGTAGATAATTTTTATATACATGGCCACACCCAATATCAAATTGAAATTTACACTAGTCACCTTAGTCACATGTTTTCTGGAGACAAATGGAATGCCTAAGAGAGGGCAATCCTTATCCGGTCAATGAGTCTGAAAATGCAGGTGATCTGTGAAACAACTGATAATCAAAGAGCTGAGAGGGCACATTGTACCAAATGTATGAGAAATTTTACTTTTGAAAGCAGATGGAGCCAATTCAAAACTTATCTACTCCTGGAAAATCAAAAAGAATTGGTTTAAGAGCTGTAAGAAAGCAAACCACACACCACAGCTATATAATGTTTTTAATTTGAGGTTTTCTGATATCATACATGATTTGGTAGGGAATATTGAAGAGATAAGACCATCTCTTGAGGAATGCATCGTTAGAGTGAATTAAAAGAGAACAATATTAGTCAAAAGAAATTTACTTTTGATTCTTAAACATGTCTACTGTATACTGAGAAATGTTTGCCTGTGGTTATTTTTGCCCTAAAATTTAAATATTTATCTACCCCAAGTGTCAAATTCACTTTAAAAGCATACTGACAAAAGGGTAAAACAGACGAAAATATAAATTGTGGCAAAACTTCCCCATATACAGTAAATGTTATGATCTCAAACCATTATTGCAACAAAGAAAAAAACATCATTAAAACAATGAAAGAGTGCTATTTCCACTCTTGTTCTTTCATTATAAATAATCATTTTTATATTACAACAAACAACCATTGCTGTATAGATATATATATATATATATAAGAAAAAAGGGGTATACAAGAGGCTCATAGGGCCTGTATTGCCCACCTAGCTTCATTAAAACTAAAGGAAGAGGAATTCTAAACATCCGACCACACAACAATTCTATTTCCCTAATAGACCTCAACCCTCTGTCCCTTGAGGGTCAGCCAAACCATTCATACTTCAGGCCAAATCATGCCTTTAGAAGATGTAGGATTTATCTAATTTCAAATATTGGGCCCTGCCCCTCCCACTTAAGATCCACCATTTATATAAAATTAAGAATACTTCACATCAATTCAGCCAAAATCCAATCTACCTACCTTTTGGATTCTGCCCCTCAGCTTCTGAAGACGCATAGTTTGTACATAATTTGTTCCATTTCCCAAAGGATGCTTTTGACCAAAAGTTGTTTATGACAAACAGCAAATTTTTTGAGAAAAGCTGACAGATGACAGATCCAGCTGTCTGACTTTGCTCATTGATGCTTCGGACCAGGTGAGGTAATAAATTAGAATCTGATACAGTAATATCACTTAACACAAATCTCAACTTCAGGCATGTTAACATATGTACCTGACGACAAAACAACAAAAATTATTTCATATGTAGTTTCACCAATATTAAGTTTGTAGTTATATCACATGCAGTTAGAATTTGGTGAAAAAACTCTTTATACATTTTGACAGGACATTTGATAATTTCAGATGTCTAAAGGTTAGGCAAGAGAGGATGAGAGGTCAGAATGGATAAGTGAAATTCCTGATACTACAGGGTCAAACTAAACAAAGTCCTCAACCAGCCCCTTACCTCCTTTTTCAAATATCATACCACAAAACCTCACAGGAAATCAAAGCTCTATACTACAAACTTTCATATAGAGTTGTCATATACACTTGGGGTTTTGGTTATACATGCTAGCTACAAGCTAATGACATCAAAACACATAAAGCAAACATACTCACAACATTCAAAATGAGTATCACAGAACAACATATGCCTGTCCCATGCCAAAAAATATTGATGATTTATTGCACCAAAATGTATATGAAAATGGAAACCCTAATAATAAATCAAAGCTTTATTAACTGAGGGAAGGAGATTTCTGAAGATAATACAAAGAGTTATTGAAAAACAAAGGGCAATAGCTCTTCCCAAAATTGAAAATCACAATAGAACGAAGGAATATATAAATTCATGTAATGGGTAACTCCTCCAAATAAGTTAAATCAAACTGTTGTTCACAAAACCACAACTTCATGTCATTGTGATTACCAAGTTAGAAAAAGATCAGCTTAAAACTGGGGTAAAATTCTACAGGCGAATAAAAGTTTACAACAAACGGATGGACAACTCCATACTATTATAAATCCCCAAAATAATAAATAAAATAAAGTTTGCAAAAATAATGTTAATATGTGACATTGCACTCACTACAGATGCTCATCAGCATAAAACAGTTGGTTTCATACTTATCATAAGGCAGGCAATGTGCAAGATGATATTAAATGTAAAAAAGCAAAATGAATTTTGGTAAATGGCTCCCAACTGCATTTCATTCAAGAAGAAACATACATTGAAAGTCAAAGTAGCTCAATATTGATCATTTACCTACACTTTAGCATTTTACTCCCCACAACCAGACTGAAATAAGACTTGCACTAAATGCAGACTGATGGTTGATTTATCCCAAATGCAGACTAATTTGCCACCCTTATCTAGACTGATGGCAGACTTACTCACCACAGCCAGAAATATGGTAGATTTACTCTCCATTTCCAGACTAATGATTGGTTTGCTCCCCACATCAGAATGATTGTTGAATTATTCACCATATCCAGACTGATGGTAGATTTACTCCCCATATCCAGACTGATGGTAGATTTACTCACCACTGCCGAAGTTATGATAGAATTACTCACCATGTCCAGACTAATGGCAACCCTGATTTTAATCTTCTGATCATTCAAAGTCATGTAAATAATCATTCGAGCAAATTTGTGAAAGAAAAATAAAAGATATAGATATAGTTTTATTCATTTCTAGCTTCAAGTGTCTACAAGTGCCTTTGACAAAATCTCTTCCATAATAACTTGGTATACCTTAGACAGCAACACAAGACAGCTTCCTAGTATTGATGTAAATATGAATTATATATGGACATTAATACCATTTTCATTTTACCGTGTAATTATGTCTCAAACATTGATTTAGAACATCACCATAGGGCTTAAGGAGAATGTGTGGTTGTCTCTGCTTCAAATGTCCAACATCACTGTGAATCTGTGTAAAGATTACTCTACAACTTTGATGTCTTTGGTCATTCAGCATCACAGATTTCAATGGCTGCGTTTCTCTCTTCCAACAACTCTGCTGCTGTCAAATCCATCTTCTCACGCTGCCATTGATTGATGGAGAGATCCTTGGCAATGGTCCAGTTACCTTTCTTGTCAATTTTGACAGGAACGCTGTACATGATTCCTTCCGGAATACCATAAGTTTGGCCATCACTCCAGACACCCATGGACACCATTTTCTGGAATACAATACAACATGAATTTGACAGGAAATCAAAAAATACTTTAAAAGAAGAGATCCAAGAGGGATCTTTACACCCACCATTGTTTGATCTTTATTTGCTCTTTGAAAGTTGGATCTTTTTCCTTCTCATCTCAGTTTTTGCTCTTAATGATAAGACATTTGAACATTCCTTGGCAAAAATAACCATGATAATCTTTACCTGCAAAATGGGCACCTGGAAGCATTTTTATTTAATTGATCAGCCCCCAAATCAAACGAGCACAAGGAGAGACCAAAGGGAACATAGATATGAAATTTGAAAGATATCTATTCAGTAATTCTTAATAAATAGGGATAATAATTTTTACTGGGCAAAATCTAAGATGGCTGCCTGTTGCCCATTTTGTGTTTCTAATCAGTCCCAAACAGGCACAACCAAAGATCAAAAGGAAACTATACAAGAAATTTGAGAACGATCTATACAGTAATTCTCAAAAAATAGCAATAACAAACTTACGAAGTCAAAATCGAAGAAGGCTGTCTATCAGCAGTTTTGTTTTTCTGATCTGTCCCAAAATCAAATGGGAATAACTAGTCACCAAGGGGAACCTACATATGCAATTTGAGAAAGAACCAGCCAGTACTTTTCAAGAAATAATGATTACAAAAATTGTTTACGGACAGACTGACTGACAATGTACAACAACCAGGGACGCAAGGCAATTTGAATAGCCCACCATCATCAAATAAAGGCAACTGTTTCAATAATTACCATGACATGTCTTATTGAGCTTGCAACACTATAGATCAGAATCACATGTAAGCACTAAAATCCTAATTAAACACTGAACTAAGAAGAGGCCAAATGGGCTTGCATTGCTCATCTGTTTGTTAATTGTTAAATTGTCTAACATTAAAAGGTTCAACAAGTTTCAACAAGTTTCAACAACCTGTTAAGAATTTCAAATTTTACCTTGTGAAGTTGAACAAAATTGGAAGCCATCATGTCAGCATGTTATTGGTGAAATTTCAATATCTAAGGATGCTAAAGGTTCAATATTATTACCTTTGGCCTTTCCCCTTATAGAAGTCATTTGACTCCTGTGACCTTAAAAGTGGATCAAGGTGATTCATTAGAACAAACTTGGTAACACTTTATCCTGGTATACCACAGGCCAAATATCAGTTGTTATACTTTCATACATTTGAACCCTGTGACCTTGAATGTGAGTCAATTTGACCCCTTTTAGTCTTGCCCTCAGGCCTCTGGAGGTCAGCCAGGATCAATATGGCCAAACCATCAAGCCATCTTTCTTTGCTCTTAACTCTAACCCCAGGATCAATATGGGCATATCATCAAGCCATCATTCTTTGCTCATAACTCTAACCAAGTTTGAAATATTTGCAATGGAAATGAAACAAATTATGCTCAAAACCATAATATTCCTATAGTAAAATTGACCCCATTTCCACAGGGAAATGCAAGTTCATTGACACTATGAAATTCACAATTTTGGTAAAGCATCCGAAGATGCTTCAATCTGTGAAGAGCATTTGATTCTACTCTACCGGGTGTTGAGAAGAAGATTTTTGAAATCTGAGTCAATTTGACCCTTTTGGCCCCACCCCTAGCACCCCTGTGGGGTGGGGACAATATAAGTCACTTTGAAGGGTTCATTAGATATCATGTGAACATGCTACTTATTTCAAAAGTGATCTTTGACCCTTAGACCATAACAAATGACAATTAAATTATGATTTAGAACTAGATATTATGATAGCACAGTGTATGAACAAAATCTAGTGGGGTTTCAAGATACCTTGTTCACAAGATTTTTTTTCATTTCCAACAAGACTATTGGCATTCTAACCTTAACCAATGACTACTAAAATAAATCAAACTAGATTTATAATTTGAAATGAATCAATTTGCAATTTGTTCTGATAATGTGAAATATACATTTCAATATACTGGGAATCCTCAAACACATATAGTGTAAGTGAAAAAAATTTCAAACTGAAAATCAAGACTTAGCTTTGTTATTGTAAATATTACATTGGTATCTATTAATCCTTGCAGTATTTTTCACTTGAATGCAAGTGAAAATATATCTGTGACTTTAATTCTAGTTTTAGCTCTGACACTGCTTTCCATTTCAGCTTTTGCTATAGTATACAAGAGACAAGAGGGTCAAAGAGCCTGTGACATTCCTCTGGATTTGTTTGGCTGGAATTGGTCGTGGCTAAAAACTCTTGTGATATCTATAGCAAGTCAAAGTTTCATCAACCTACATCATCATTACTGATACACTGTTTGTATGTTTACTTGCAAACCAAAGGTCCATAGGGCCTGCATCAATCACCTGGATCTTAAATGCCCAGCAATAAATGCCTATAGGATTGGCATTTCAAATATATTCAAATGACAGCTCAGTCACTTAACCTCTTGGGTGAAGCAAGACCAATGGACAAACTCATGATTGTCTTTCTCTTTAGATGCCCAATAAATGTCATGTATGGTTATGTGGTGGGGATCTTAGATGCTTCAAAGATATAACTAGGAAACTATATCCCTGGCAGTGGGGCACATTATTAATTTAATGTACATTATGATTGTGTTCATCTCTTGATGCCTAACAATGGTTATTGGGTGGGAATCTCATTTGTTTCAAAGATATTACCCAACGTGAGGGGTGGGGCACACCCTTGGGCCAAATTGACATCATGTTTGAGTTTATCCCCTGATGCCTAGCAAAGCTATATATGGTTATCATGCGAGGATCTCAACCGTTTCGAAGATATAACCCAGAAATTAAGCCTAGATAGGTGGAGTCATGATTGAGTTTATCTCTTGATGCCCATCATTGCTATATATGTTTTAGAGGTAGAGATCTCAAATGTTTCAATGATATATCCCAAAAACTAAGTCCGTAAGGTGGAACCAGACCTCAGGGCAAATTCTTACATGACTTGCTTGTTGGGATCTCAACTGCTTCAAAGATATAACATGGATCTCAACTGTTTCAAAGATATAACACATTTCCTCTACTAAGCCCTTCCTCTCTGGCCCTAGGCAGCAAAAGACCATCATTCATAAAAAACTAATTCCCGATCACCTTACAATGCTTCAACCCAAATCTGGGCAATATCCAATATCCATTCATTCCTACAAGTGGAATAGGATTTTTGAGAATTCAGCCAATTTCCACTATTGGGCCTCTCCGTAGTAGGCTGAGACCTAACAATTATACAAGATTGATTACTCTTCACCCAAGAATGTTTCAGACCAAATTTAGGCAATATCCATTCATTCCTTCAGGAGTAGAATTTCAAAAATTTGCCAAAATTCTACTTCTGAGTCTATTCTCAGGCTCCTGGTGACTGACCAATATTTATACAAACATGGTTCCTCTTCCCCAAATGATTCTTCTGACTAAATTTGGCCAAAATCTGTTCAACTGTTCATGAATAATAGTCATTTTTATTAAAAAGTTGACTGACGATGAATGATGGACACCCAACATCACATAAGCTAATAAGTGTCTGGAGGAAATGTGATAATAAGCAGAACATGACATTACCAAAAGACACATTTCTTTCAGACATCTAAACACGGAAGTTGACTTTCATTTGTCATTTGATTTCTTTTTCCAATAAGAACGGTGATTTTCCTTAACTTTTGTTTGTTTATTCTATGAAATATCTAATCTGCTATCATAAATCATCATAAACGATCATATCATATTCACAGTAAACACATAATGAAATTTATTCATCCATTACTGTACAGGCATCATAATAGTGCATCAACGCAGAGTTGATATCTATATCCGTACCATGTGCAGCTTTGCACATTCATTTGCTGTTATATTTGAGGTTATTTTTAATAGCCAATCAAATGTTCTGAAATAGGGTGTAGAGAAAACCTTGTTTCCAAACATTTTACTGTCACCTTACCAGAGCTCATGAAAATCTAAGCAACAAATGATTTGACAAAGATTAAAACAACAACATTCTGATATTATGACCAACTGGATTTTCAAGGTGTGAAAAGTTGGAAAGTAGGCCAGTGGCGATGTTAACATGTGTCCAGGTATAACGTATAACTCTTCAGGCATGAATCCATAGATCCTATTCTCAATTACTCAGATTTACCTCTGTTTTTTTGTGATCATCGTCAACCTTATTTACCTTATCATTTTCATCATCAGTTCCAATCCACCAATCTCTAACATGATCGACGATTGCATTAGCTGCGGACATGGCACTTGACAGTTTCCTGGCAGCAATAACTGCAGCCCCACGCTTCTGGACAGTCTGTTGAAAAAAATTGTTCTTTCAAATAGACAAAGACAGGTATTTATCAATTGTAATGAATCATGACCCTTTTTGACAATCCTACATAAGCAATGTAAGTTATAATATCACACATCTTCAATCAGGAATGGTACTAAAATGTGATACCCAAATCGCTTTTAACTTTGAATGACTGTTAACTTTGAATGGCAATCTTCAATAAATTGTAGTAGTCAGGTCTAAAACAACAAAGCAAGTTTATTTGGCCATTTTAAGCAAGTGTACTGAAAACTGATATGTATTGAAAAACTTGGCAAGACATACTCACGGTGACAAACTCATTCTTGACCCAGTCATCATCATTAATGGCAGGCATAGCAGGAACCCATTTATCACCAACAGTGATCTCAGCAAAGTTCAGATCTGGAAACTGTGTTGATGAATGGTTTCCCCAGATGATACAATTCCTTACTTCATTACATGGAATTCCCATTTTTTCTGCAACCTAAAGTTCACAAGAATGAGTCTAAATTATCTTTCACATGACTTTTTCTGTAACAGGGCCTTAACTATCATGAAAGTTTGACTCTTTTTGTTATGATATAGAAATAATTATGAAATGAAACCATGATAGTCCTATGTGTGTAATGCAGAATATGGCAAATTTGACATGAAACTGACCAACAAGTAAATAAACAAGAAAAATACTGATAAACAAACAAGATCCATAGGGCCTGCATTGCTCATCTGACATTGCTAGCCTGAAATTGCTTCAATAAAACTTAAGGAAATGGAATTCTAAATATCAAAGCACACAACTCAAACCATGTTAATGTTTCTACTGGAACTGTACCCTCTGTCCTTAAAGGGTCAGCCAAATCTGTTTCCCTGTATGTTTAAGGTCCAATATCATTACCCTTGGCCTTTCTCTTACTAAAAATAAGTTTTTAAAATTTTTGTTCAACACATTTGACCCCTGTGACCTCAAAAGAGGGTCAAGAACAATCATTTGAACAAACTTGGTAGCAATTCATCCTAGCTTGCTACAGGTCCAATATTAGTATCATGGGCCTTTCAGTTAACGGGAAGAAGTTAAAAGATTTGACATATGTGACCTCGAAACAGGGAAAAGGTCATTTATTTTAACAAACTTTGTAGCCCTTCACCCCAGCAAACTACAGGCAAAATATCAGTACCCTTGGCCTTTTGGCTATTGAGAAGAAGTCATTTAAATATTTCAACACATTTGACCTCTGTGACCTTGAAAGTGGGGCAAGGTCGTTCATATTCAGAATCTTGGTATCAATTCACCCTAGCATGCTACAGGCCCATTATCAGGGACATGGACTTAACACTGAGTGTATCATACATCTATATAATGTGTATGTAATACTGATTGTATCATACATCTATAAAATGTGGATGTTGCACAAAGTGTAGCACACATTGAAATGTGTATGTTACACTGTGTATCACATATCTATGTTATACGGAGCATATTAAATTTCTGTAGTATGTTTATGTTATACTGAGCATATTATACATCTATATTATTTTATCTTATACTGAGCACAGCATATGTCTGTATAATGTTTGTGTTATACCAAGCATATTATGTCTGTATTATGTTCATGTTAAACGGAGTGTATTAAATATAATGTGTATCTTATACTGAGCATATCACATGTCTGTATAATGCTCATGTTATAACAAGCATATTATGTCATATTATGTTCATGTTAAACTGAGTGTATTATATATAATGTGTATGTTGTACTGAGCATATTATATGTCTATATTATGTTTATGTTATAAGGAACATATTATGTCTGTACAATGTTCATATTATACTGAGCATATTATATATAATGTGTATGTTATACTGAGCTTATATTTGTATATGTATATAATGTCTATGTTATATAGAGTGTATTAAAGTGTATATTATATTTGTTAAACTGAGAGTATCACATGTCCATATAATGTGTATGTTTTAATGAAAAAATGTTTATCAGATAACTGAACTTATAGTATTCAATACAAAAACGTAAAGCTGCTTATTAATTATTAGTGAGGGAGAGAGACTCCAAACCTGGCAGTAATTCTTACCAATTTGTTGGGAAAACTGCCAAGCAGCCATTAAGATCGAATGACACTTACCATTGCTTGTGCTCTGTTTTGATCAAGACGAGTCAGGGCAGAGAAATTTTCCTTTGGAATTGAAGGAGCATACTTTGAGCAGATCAGAGCATTAGTGTTTGCTGGGTTACCCACAACTACAACCTGTAAAAACAACATTCAAGCTTAGATCCTCAACCTCAGGCTATTTCATCACATGGTGACAAATGCAGAACCCAAAGATGCATCTTATCAAACAATCTTGCATATATGTAGATGAATTAAATCATGTCTGGGCCAATTTAAAGGGATTAAATGGTTAGATTTCAACAGTTTTTTCCATGCATTTGATTTCAAGCAAGTCTTGTAATACTTAAACTATTTTGATTATTAATAAAATTATAGCACCTTTTCTGAGAAAAAATTATTACAGTTATCGGCTTCAAATTACACTGGTTGACACTTTGGAACCTCATTTCAACTCATCACTTTGTTATGATTTATAAAATTTTTTTTGCATCGTACATGCTCTAGGACCTGCAAACTTTTCAGTATAATAATTAACAGAAAGTGCACAACTTTTAACAGATATTTAAATGTTGTAATGCTTCAGTTATGAAATGAAAATCCACCTACTTAGTCCCTTTAATAAATGAAGATTGCTTCAAAATAGTATTTTATTCCAAAATCCTCTGGATTTCTCCTAAAAGTTGTCATCATTACTAATAAGAATGAATTTTTGGTCTTCACATCAATGAGTTCTTGCCTGAAACACCTCCACTAAATGGAGAATTCAAATTCTGAAAGAGTTTGATTGAAACTTTTGAAATTTAGCATAAAACAAGATCACAGAAGGATCTTGGCATCCACCATTTCTTGGTCTGTATTTGTTCATTAAAAGTTTGATTTTTTTCTTTTCTATTTTCTTTTCTTGCTCTTAGTTATATGAAATTTTAAATTTCCTCTGAAAAATATAATACTACCAATTTTAATTACAGCTCTGCTAGGTCCAATTAAACAAATGTGACATTAAACATTTACGTAATAGGTGTTACTACACTGATACTATGGTAGTTATGTGATAAATTTTGTGTGAGCATATATTTTGGCTATTCTAGATTTCAGGTACACACCTTAATGGTTTTCTTAGCAAATTGGTCTATTGCCTGTCCTTGAACTTTAAAGATATTGACATTGGCCTTGAGTAGGTCTTTGCGTTCCATTCCCTCTCGCCTTGGCATGGCTCCAACTAACATGGCCACATCAGCATCTTTAAAGGCTTCATCCAATTTATCTGTGGCCACCACCTCTGTTAAAAAAACAAAGATATTTCCAAACAATATGTATTTGAACAATTTGTGAAACCTAATTTTTCACTTATGCTTTGAAGATCTACCATAACAAACTTCAATATACAACAGCACTAGGAGTAAAACTCTCCTAGTCTGTCCAAAACAACTAATTGTTTTGCCCAGGCAAGTGCAAAATGTTAATACACTTGCCCAGTATTTTTTTTGTTTTGTTTCTATAACACAAGTTTGCATACTCAACTTCTCAAATCTCAGAGAATGAAGAATTAAATACTTGCTGTAGCATAATGCTATGTAATTAATGTAAATTATACAGGATTTTTTTCCCAATTTCCACCTACAATAATTAGGGTCAACCTCTGACTTACTTGAAACAAGATGGAAATTACAGTCTGTAATCTCCATCACTACACCTTTCAGTACATTCACCATTACGGGAATGTCCAGCAGCACCAGCACAACCTTCAAGATGGAAAACATGTCAAATTTGTTAACAAATAATCCCAACAATCTATACAATTTCAGGTCTTTGTATTGGGTGAATTGTTTTCTTTGTTTACGAGAACCGCCAATTGTGAACAGACAAGGTCATTCTAAGATAGGGTCTCCTTGCAGAAGCTGGTGGCTACTTTACTAAACAACATGCAGAAGGCCCATTGCATAATGTAGTTTTTATACAACCTTAATCAGACATTCGTTTTATTTTAGTGCTCTCCATCTGAAAAATTCTTTATAACTTTAACGACAAAAGAAAGGTCTTGTTTAATAAAGACCATGGCAAACTAATTAGAGTACACCATATCTTTTACAAGTGGTGGTTTACCCGTTTAATTTTGTATGTTACCCAAGACTACTTTTTACAGCATATGTGCTATAGATTATCATCAAAAGTTCAAATGATCAAATGAAATTGTCCTTTTTACAAAAAACATTATACAAAATACACAGTTAATAGATTGCTGTATGTTTAAGATTCATCAAAAGTTCTATTCATTGTTATTGAAAAGTGAACCTTACCTGCCTTTCACCAAATACTTGTCCTTTGGCCACTGCATATATGAGCGAGTAGGCAATCTGGCCTGCTGCCCCAGTGATGACAACCCGAACTGGTTCTTTCGATTCCTAAAAACAGATTAATGTACCTCTATTTTATTCAATTAAATATTCCCACTTTTGCTTCAATTTTCCGTAGATGTATGAGCAGTTTGAGAATTAAAGTTAAGTTTATAAGTTAATAATGGACGCAGGCAAATCAATGCCTCTATGTCCATATCTGAAATTGATTTTACATTGGAATTGATATATCATACAATGTAGGAGGAAATAAATCGTTACATAGTGACTTAGCAATTTACGGTTTTGAAAGATCAAATTATTGTTCATCATGAAAGATTGAGATATTTGTCTTTTTATATTTCAGTGCTTAATATGTTATAACATTCCTGGCTTAAATGTCTCGTTTTCTGCTGATGCGAACAATTTTTCTGTTCCATGGTGGTCCGCAAACCTGATAGATATAGGCTTCAGATTCTTGTTCTTTTCTTTTTGCCTCTTTATATAATCTACTTTCCTTTTCTCGTTCTAATTTGGTCAGATCATTCCTGATTTGTATAGAAGAAAAATTGTTTGCAGCTGCGTAGCCTTTGGATATTTTTGAAAATATTTTTTATGTACCAGAGAGTCAAACTTCACAAACATTGGTCGACCTTTTTCACTTGACACTGTACTTGAATCCGGGCGTTTTCCCAGTTTAAAGACCTTCTGGGGTCCTCCCTGAGCATACATGTTTCAATGATCCTCTCCACTACCTGAATATCTGCTCTCATTCTTTTATTTCCATTATCATCGAGCTGTTCAAGAATTCCAAATTGACCATGTTGTTCTCCCTGCTTTGCCTATCCTTTACCTCTCGAGAATATTTCATCCGAACACTGAGGCGTTTCCATCTGTTTCCCAACCTTTTCCATTTCCTTTTTCAATATGCATTCGACATCAGCTATTTCACATTTCCTCTTCATTGAATTTTCCAAATCCTCAAGTCTTTTCTCGAATGTTTCCATTATCTCACGTCACCTTTCCTCAATTTTTCTATTGGTCAGTATACTTTTCTCAACTGTCACTCTACACGGAGGACAAAACCACATACTATCTGATCGGCACAAAACTTCGTACGTATGTACATCCATGCCAATATATCCAATGCAAAAATATTCCCGGCATCTGTTGCATTTCAGCATTTTGGTTATCTTCTCAACATACACCTTTGAACACAACTTACACCCAGTTTTGGTGATGTTCAGGGTATCCATCCTGACTTCTGTAGACAAAGACACTGATTTGGCTCTGGTAACAGCTCCAGCAGTACTACTTCCAGCTTTCCTTTTTGTCATTTTCCATAAAATCTATCAACGCTATTCACTCCAAAACATGTAACCAACTTCTTTGTAGTAACTTACATCAATCCATGTTTCTTTTGTTATGTTTATTGTCGAAAACAGTAAATATCTAAGAAAATCACCCTGTTGCCTACGGAGCTTCCTGAATCACAACCGGTAACCATGGTGTGACGTCACAATCCATACCTGCATGAGTGTTTCTGTCAAGCTGGGTAGAGCTTGTTACCAAACACATTGACAATGTGCACATGACCATAGAGATAGACGGAGCTTGTTACCAAACACATAAGCAATATGCACATGACAAAAGACCTTAGTGAAGGGCGGAGCTTGACAATATTGACAATATGCAGATATCACAAGAGGTGGGCAGAGCCTGTTATCAAACACATCAACAATATGTGCATGACACAAGAATTTAGAGAAGGATGGAGCTTTTTACAAAATATATTAACAATATGCAGATACGCGAGAGGTGGGCAGAGCTTGTTACCAAACACATCAATAATATGCGCATGACAGAAGAATTTAGAGAAGGTGGAGCTTGTTACCAAACACACTGACATGATGACATATAGCTTTATATATATGTGTGTGTGTATATATATTTCTCTCATTTCCACCTGTGTCAGATAGGCCTGTCCAGGGCAATAAACATGATCATGATAGACGTTTATTACACAGGCGCCTGTGTAATAAAGCCTCGCACGCGGAGTAATTCATAGTTTTTTCCCGCGCACTCATCGACTATGTCCTCGTCATCCGCTTCATCCACAAACACGCATAGTCGATTGGAGTCATTGTTTGCAGGCTCGTATTAACAAAACTGTTTTATAAATATCAACATCACCAACCCTGGGACTCGGCCTTTCCGCCGTCGTCCACGTGTGATTGAAAGTGACAATGACTAACTTTCCTCCTGTCGGTGTGGCGCGAAATGTGTGACGTAAGTGACGTCATCTCACAAGCAAACCAAGAATTCCATTCATAAATGTGTAAGATTTGTAAGATTACTATTGACAGTGAAGTAGTATTAATAACTTGACCAACATGTTCAAAGATGTAAAAAGTGTTTATGATATATTATACATTGAGCAATAGTAAATATTAAAAAGAAAAGTGTTGTTTTATTGCATGTTTTAAGGCACTATATTTGAACGCGTACGCATGTCTCTGGGTGATATATTTGACAGGGTATTTGACCCAGCCCGCTTGAAGAAAAAACAGTTAAACACTGACGTTGGATGTTTACATTCAAAGTCCATATAATGTTTTCGACCGCAAACATAGTTTGCAAAATTCGGGGATGGAGAATCTATTTCAGCATATTTTTTATGTATATGGCCCAAGGAAAAAAATAGAAATCTGAAAAATGGTGGCGTCCAGTGATGGCTACCGCGAGGTGAGTGCAAATATTTGATAATATGAGATTAGAAATGAGAGAAAAAAACTCTTTTCTATATGGGTATGTAGGATAGGGATATTCCACCCTCGGGATCACAAAATATGGTAAAAACCCTCGGCAAGCCTCGGGTTTTACCACATTTTGTGACCCCTCGGGTGGAATATCCCTATCCTACATACCCATATAGAAAAGAGTCTTATAATCTTTAACCAGGAGTGAAACCACGAATCATGATTCAATGGAGTCAATGCGTTTCTCAAAGTATAAAGTGTAGATTTCCAAAAGGTTTATTTTCATATTTTAGAATCTCCTTTCGAGTCATTTCAATAACACTCTCAGTTCAATCATCCACATCACATAGACCATTAAAATTGAAGAGAACAGTGACAAAACTGTATGAAAATAATTAGTAACCCAGGGATAATTTAGTTATAGAAAAACCATTGATGCTCTTATACATGGATTGTGGTTGTGGAATTTTTTATGATGAAGTCCCTGTGATCAGAAGCACATAAACACGTACAATTGCTGCAGTCGGTATATAATATCAGCTTGACAAGTAGACATGTTCGAACTCGACATATTGCATAAAGGATAAATGTTTTATAACTAAAAATTATATCTATGAACATATATATTCGACTACGCATACGATAACTTGGTTACCGTTACGTACACATGACGAAGGTGGTAAGAAGGTCACAATGCATTTTCACTTAAACTTTTGATTCTTACAGAAAAAAAGTTTCACGTCCTTTCTTTAAGGTAAGAAATTCTTAATTGATTATATATATCATACGTCGATTGCATTTTAGTGACATGATGTATTCACACCAGTACATTTAACTGAAAATCTTACCATAATTTTCCGATGAGCTTCAAATGCCGGCTGATAGACTGAAGTTGAAGGTCGTTTGGAGTGGGTTGTTACAAATTAGCCGAAACGCAAACTAACGTCTCGCTACCCAAATTGGAAAACTTCTTTAAGAATGTTGTCAAAATCTTCCACTGAGTGTATTTTTCTTTGTATTTCACAAATATACACCTTCAGCTTTCAATTCGTGTTTTCGATGCATATCAACAGCGCATGTGTCTATAAATAGAATACTACTTTCAGCAATACTTTTCATTGTTTTAAAACATGATAGAATATTTGTGTTGTCTCAGGGCATCATTTCCGGGGATTTTTTTTTATAATTTAATTTTTTAAAATCTCAGATAAAGATGACATGCAATAAAGAAGACAATGGCTGATACAGAATGCCAGTATTCTTTGTACCTACCTTAATTCTTGTTTATATTAGTAAATATTCACTTGTATAATCTGAAGAGTGTTCAATTCTGAGTAGCTTCACTCAACCGTTTAGTGTCCGTCATAGGTTATTGATTTTTGTGAGGGGGGGGGTATTATTTTTTTTCATTAATACTAGCTTTATCTATTCATTTTGTTTTGTTTTGTGTTTTTTTTATTCGTCAAGAGAAAGAAGACGTTCCTTCAATTTCAAAGCACGGAGGTTAGTTAAATAAACAGTTCTAAACAAATATTTCCGTGAAAATCAAGATTATGGTAGGAAATTTAGACAATGCCAGTACATAATCACTCCGAGTAAACATATTTCACACATATAATGTCGTCGTTCTTTCTACAAATTGCTGATGTCAAGTTTGCTGGACTTTGCGAGCTGCTGTCTCAAAGTCAACAATGGCTGTTATAGGACGTCTAGAGAAAGCTTTAAGCCGGTCAACCGTGATCGTCTTCAGTAAAGTCAGGAAACGGTACAGCTGCTGGGTCTTGTAGGATAGTAGCATATAGATAGGTGGGTACACCACCCTGGTTATTTAGCGGAGGTATTCGTATGAGATAGATGGCTTGGGTAATTAAACAAGAGATCCCAGAGGGATCTTGGCGCCCACCATTTGAGGATCTGTTTTCAGTTCTTGAAGATTTGTTCATTTTTTTTGTTTGTTACAGGTGTTGTAAATGTTCATGAACTGGTCTTCATTGAATGTACTCAATGATGGCACGAGATATTTTTATTAAGCACCTATTAGCAAATATCATTTGAAAAAGATCCCAAAGTATTATTAGATATCAGTCTAATGGACATGGTCTTGAATCAATATGATAGAATATCGAAGAAAATATGCTTGTGCTGTATTACTGTCGACATCCAAGAAGGCTGCCTGTGGGCCACCTTGATTTCAAATCAGTCCAAAAAAGGTACAATGCACAACTAGGGACCAAGGGGACACTGCAAATGAAATTTAAGGAAGATCCATCAAGTACTTTCCAAGAAATAGCGGTAACAAACTTTTACTTCCAAAATCCAAGATGGCCGCCTGTCGGCCATCTTGAATTCGAATTAGTCCAAAAAAGGTGCAATGCACAGCTAGGGCCCAAGGGGAAACCGCATATGAAATTTGAGAAAGATCTGTCCAGAACTTTTCCATAAATAGCGGTAACAAGAATTGTTTACGGACGGACGGACCACGGACCACGGACGCAGGGCGATTTGAATAGCCCACCATCTGATGATGGTGGGCTAAAATTTGATTTACCACTAATTAAAGGTTTAATCATTAAACTTCTTACTTTAGTAATTTATGCATATTGATAAAATTAATACAAAGAATTTTTTTCCCATATGAAAAACTACATACTAGTCAGTATCATATCAGCATCATTATCTAACTATATATATCATATTCTTTTTCAAACGAGACATGTCATGTATAGAAGCAAGTGTAAAACTTGAATTATGAAAAGCATTTTATTTTAGTGTCACATTAATAACAAGGAAGAATATACTAAACCTTAATTATTTTTTCACGTCTAAAAGGAATTTCTATCATTTTAAATGATATCAGTTTCCAACATGACTAGATGGCGCAGGTAACCAAAGGTAAAAGCACGTGTAAAGTTTCAAACGTAAGCAAATCGGGATATTGATCACTTCGGAGCATGGGGACACAAAAAATCCATGAAAATATGTCGTAAAAACACAAATGACATTTAGCAGTACAGAATCACCAGACTCGAGTAAATCAGTTGTGAAAACAGTTCAAGTTTTATAGAATGTCGGACTTACATTTACACAAAAGTTCTCGTCTTCGCATTGATTATTTCATTTTGGTTTTTTTTCTAAATCTACGCGCAGACTAAAATGTTTTCCTTATTTCCCTTTTGCTGTATTGTTGTGGAATGTCCTCGTGTTCCCTTTGTTTTGACCTGGTTGTTCCAGAGTTTAAGAAAAGTCGCTGCCTGGCTATAGCAAATGAACTCTAACTATTGTCTTGTCAATAACAGAAAGTTGTATTTACTAAGAAAATGAAAATGTTTTTTTAACTTGTGTACTTACATGTTCATCAATAGATAGAAACTGATCTATTACTTATCGCTCCATATTCCTTCCATTGCCTCCTAATTGTCCTTCTTAGTTTTAAGATCAAATTGATTTCATCGTTATTCCTAACTATAGGCATATATTTAAATTTTTGATGGTGAAATTTCAGTAACTATTTGTAACTCCAAACTGACAAATATCCGGTCATATCAAATACATGGTGTAGTGTAGGAGAAGTTACTACTGGATGTAGTTTGCAACCTTCATATATTTTAGTAAACTGACTGACTGGTTTCGTCCCAGAGAAACACACATCTTCAATCTTGACCAACAAGAATGAGTACTCTAAGACAGTAGTTTGTTTGTAAAAATTGGTAAATTTAAAATGCCTTTGCTCTAAATGGAACATTCAGTCGCAAAATAAACATTTTTTATTCAAATTTCACTATAATTGAAACTGATGTAATCCTGTGAAAATAATCAGTTGTAAACAAAGAAAATGACACCTTTTGAAGTTTAATATTTGGAATATCCTTAGCCGAGTAAAACAGCTTGATAAAATAGATACGTGTGCTTCCGACATCTGAGAAATGCATAAAATAATAACTAAGACATCTTTAGCATACGTTTCATTGATTCATTAGAATAAACACACTATTATTCCATTCATCGTGCAAGTTTGGCGGTTTTTTGACGCTCTCTCATTTTGTGTCCAAAATTATTTGAAACATGGTAGTCAACCGTCGGCAAACCAGACTAATCTAAGGCTATGTGTGTAGTCATCACCAGGGTTTGACACGTTTAATTACTTGTACACGTGTCAAGCCCTGGTGACGTCAACACGTATCAACCTATGTACTGTCTACACGTGTCAAACCTGGTGATTTTACGGAATCTACTTCAGGTTGGTAATATCAATAGAATATAAGTTTTATAACTCAACAAATAGAAAAGTATGTGACGTTTCGATAATGAAGTCAGTTTCAAAAGTGTAGATAATAATAGTTAATTTCACATGGGTAGATACGATCAATTCATTTCGCACGAGGAGATATTAGGTTGGACACGAGTAGACATTATCGTTTAATCTTAAACGTAAAGCATCGCCAGGTTTGATACAATAAGGATTCCGATTATTTCGCGCGTGTGTATACCACCATTTAATCTCACACGTGTAGGTATCATCACACATGGAGACATCATTTGGTTTGACACATATAGATATCGTACAGATTGACATGTATATATCACCGGTTTATTTAGTAGTACGTGTATAAGTCACTGGTAAATTTCACAGGATTTGATCTCATCATTTCCATTTACTTTCTAAGCTATAGACATCAACAAGTTTGATACGTATAGACATCCCTAGATTTGACACGTGTAAACATCGACATATTTCACACGTGCATACATCACCATCAGGTTAATTTCACATGTGTAAATGTAACCGACGGTGTTTTATGTGAAATAACACAAACTAGTTTATGAGTTCATTACCAGGAACCAGGTTTTACTGACACGATCGTAACATGGTAAGAATCTAATATCCTGCAACAAATATAAACCAAAACAATTACACATTTTACTCACATACGTACAAGTGAAAACAAGGGACATAACTCTTACTGATCTTGCATTACCAATCTTGTGTTCTTATACAAGTTAAAATAGTCATAAATTACATCTAACGCCACTAATAAGTAATGTTATATCACTATTTCATATTTCTATGAAAACAGTTTTAGCAAATTTCAACAATATCATACCTGCGCGTGGCACAGAGCTGTCCTAAGAACTGATCATTAAAAAGACTCATACACATAAACAGCTTACATCTAGGAATAAACAATACAATTATGTTTAAAATCAGATATATGAACAATCACCAAAATATTACTTTAAAATCACAGAAATGATTCATAAATTATTGGCATTCATAATGATGTTCCTTACATAAAAAGATGTGATTTGGTATACATTTAGTGATAACTAATTGTAAAATACAAACAATTATGAAAATACTACTTTTATGATAGAATGGAAGTGATAGTGAATTTAGTAAATAGACTGCTAAAGCTGCTTACACTCACGCCGAGTCTTTCAAAACATCAGACTATCATCTGACCAACTCCCGCAAACACAATGTCCACACCAACCTAACCAATCAGAACACAGGACAACTACAATGACCAATATGTCGTAACTAGACACTAACACCACTTAGTAAAACCACACCAAGGACAACAAACACGCATACAAAATACGCACATGCGCAACAGTAAAACAAACGCGTGGCGGAATATAATAATAATGATAATAAGATAAATTCCATATGAAATAAAACATAAAGTCATCCGTGCTACATTCTTCCCTGCTTCGTAGAATGCCTTCCGCGACAATACAGGAAATAGGAAGCAGATCTGAAATGAATAAAAAAAACAACCAAATTAAGAAAACACAAAGTCATAAGGCAAAAAAGACAAAGAGGATCTGGTTAAAACAAGTGCCCAGCCACTACATTAGGTAATACCTGGTAACAAATCAGTAATTAACATGGTTCAGTAATGATGCCGATGAGAGCAGTCCCTATCTTGTATGCTTTGGAGAGATTAGAGAAGTCTCGGATGACTTAGTATCCACGCCAAATTCCAAGTCCACTGCGAATCTTGGGTTACGTCCAAACATCAGAAAGTATGGAGTGCGCCCGGTGGATTACTGGCTAGTGCAGTTGCATGCATGTACAAGCACTGGCACGTGAGTCTTCCAATCCAGCTTTTCGGTCTCTGCAGGCGTCCGAACCATGCTCAGTAGAGTACGATTAAGTTACTCACACAATCTATTGGGCATGGAATGGTAAGGATTGGCCTTGGATTTATCCATCCCTGTCATGGCATATAAATCCTTCATAACCTTAACCATGAAAGTCTGTCCCTGGTCTGTATGGATTCTTCTCTGTAACCCGCAGTGAACAACAAAGTGGTTGAAAAGGGCTTCTGCAATGGTACGAGCTGTCATATTTCTTGTAAGCACAGGAACCGCATACCGGGTGAAGAGGGTCGGGTATCACAAGGAAAAACTAACTCCAAAGGTTGATGAGTGTAAATGCTGAGCAGTGGTGCTCTCACATTGGTGGATGTCTTTCTCCGTAGACAACGATCACATTTTGTAACTCAATCTCCCACATTTCTGGTTATTCCAACGCAAAAAAAATCTATCCTGAATGAGCGACAGAGTCTAATCTCGTCCCTAATGACCCATGTCGTCATGGTGAGCACGGTTGGCACAAGGGATTTAGAATCAACTTGTTGTGATATAACATCTCCATCTTTGGTAACTTCTCTGTACAGGATATCATCTCTAATCCTTAACTTGTTGAAGTTTTCGAAAATGATGGATTGTTCATAGGAACGGAGTAAAATGTGACTGTGGGGTTTCATTCCTGCATCGACAAGTGTTATCCATGTGGAAATAACTGGGTCTTGACTGCGCATGTTTTACATCAAGCTGTTTGTCACAAACACTGTTGGAAAAGGTATCCAGGGTGGTAACTGACATGGACAGGCTTTCAATACATGGGTTAATATGTATCCCATTGCTGTTGGCTTTGACATCATCACAGATGACATTAATCTCTAACTCTTCATTCTCAAGTGTCGGGTGTCGTGACATTGAGTAGGCATCCGCGTTGTTAGTTCCTGGTCTATACTGGATGTCGAAATTGTAGGCACCTACAGCAGCAACCTATCTCTGAGTGGTGGCGTCTACTTTTGTTGATATCAAAATGTATGTCAGTGGGTTGTTGTGTATTACTGCTGTAAATGAGCGTCCACGCAAACAATCTGGGAACTTGTTTGTAACGTCCTATTTCAGTGCCAGGAATTCGAGTTTGTGTGCCGGGTATCTCTTTTCCGGTTTTGACAATCCTCTGCCAACATATGCGATTACTCGCTTAGCGCCGTCCTGTTCCTGATAGAGTACTGCACCGAGTCCAAGTAGGGATGTGTCTGTGTGCAACTCAAACGGTTTATTAAAATCTGGATAACCCACAATTGATGGTCCCGACAAGCAGTGCTTAAGTTCATAAAATGCATCCTCCTGATCTGAACTCCATGTCAATGCCTGTTGTAGCGAATCCTGCTTCTCTTCTTACTCTTGGACTTAACAGGTGTAGACACAAGGACAGTTAATGGCCTAGCTATGTGCTATGTGGCTGAAGTTCTGAATGAAGCGATGATAGTACCTAATGAACCATAGAAACTTCCTAACGTCTTCTGAGTTCTCAGGTCGTGGTCAATCAAGTACCTTTGCTACTTCATTCGGATGTCGATTCCACGTTCCGATAAAAAAACAGCGAACATACTTGTCAGGAGCTAACTTCAATCCATCACCTGCTATCTTCTGAAACACTGAGTCGAAATGTTGAATATGGTGTCCATAGTACTTGGAAAAATGATTACATCCATCTTTGTACTCGAAACAAATGCAAGTATGTAGATAACCTATTACTTCCTCCATCAGTCCTGACAAGTGGATGGGGCATTAGCCAAACCGAATGGCATCCTGACGTATTCGTAGAATCCCAGAGGACCAACAGTGAATGCAGTTTTCTCTTTATTTTCGTCGTGTCATCCACTTGGTGGTATCCAGACTTCATGTCAATGACTGAAAAGAGAAAAGACTGAAGAGCATAGGTATCTTTGATAGTCCACTGGTTTAACTGGCGGTGGTCCACACACATCCTCGAAGCACTAATCTTCTTTCTAACGAGGACAACATTCTGTGCTCATGGACAGTGAGACTTCCTGATAATTCCAGCAGTCAAGAGTTGGTGAAGTTGTTACAATCTTCATTAAACATAAATGGGATGATCCTTAAACGCCGTTGCTTTAAAGGCGCATGGTTTGTGAGGTCAAGCCAGTGCCTTGTAGCAAATGTAGTCAAGAACTTTCCCAGCAGGTCCTTCATACGGCTAATTTCCTGGTCTGACAAGTCATCCTTGTAGATTTCCACGTTGTCAAAGACATCTTCATTTGCTCTCTCATGTTGTCCTCTGCTGTGACTTGCTGCAACTCGCAGATCAGAGCTTTTGGCCGTACAGTGACTGTAGACACGTTACTGATATGGACCTGAACAAGGCTCCTCTGACTACAACAGTATGGCACAATGGTTGGGACTATCTCCAGATAATCTTATATCGCTGACCTATTTGTATGGTGAACAAGTACACACATTAGTCATTAAGACGAACTGCTGCTTATATATACTATACTGAAGTAATTAACCATCTATACAGGCGAAAAAAAAAGAAATTAAAATACAACCAAGATTCTCGTAAAAACACTAGAGAGATCAATGCAGTTGTATGCATGAAGTTTGTTTCTCCCTGGAATGCATGCACATGGCAGAAGTCGAAATATTTACTGACATGTAATTTCTGTCTTGTCTTAGAAAAATATGAAACGATAAGAACAAACCTGAACCAAACCAAAACTTAAAAAAATACACACACAATTTAAAAAATCACGACAATAATCAACGAACTTAAATTTATTGAAGAGAGAGGTAAAGCGGAAAGTAAAATCATATCATTATTTTATGCAGGCATAATTAAAAACCTAACTTGAATTCTACAAAATGAGGTAAAATATCCGTATGAACCATAGCACGATCTTTCTATTATGATTTATTACTGAAAAAAAATATATATTAAAAGGAAAAAAGATATATACTTCAACAAATGTTGCAATTGATTTCAGCTCTGTTCCATGCCAGTACAACTTCAGTGTTTATTATCGAGACAATAAAAGTTCACATGTAACTGATGTTTTCTTGTAGATCTATATCAAATTTCAAAGTATTATTTTTTATACTTCAAAGAATGCGTTCTTTTCATTGTAAATCAGGCTAACAAGAGTGACTTCCCTTGTTGGTAGTTTTCTGTATTGGGAGGCAAATTATTTGAATATGACCGGGTTACATGAATATTTATAAGACATTAAAATCATCTGACCAATCAAAAGCCGTCTTTCTTTTTGTTCGCCCCGCCTGCTTTGTGTTTTCTGATCGCATATCGCTAAAACCTTCAAATATTTTTATTTCGTAAAAATTCAATAAAATCATTAAAAAATATTTGTTGTCATAAATAGCATAATTGATAACCACTCCACCAGTCTGTGTAATCATTATCGTCATACAATTTTTCATTTAGTTGATAACTCGATTTGTTTTACCCCTACCACAAATCCTCTTCGACTGCGTTTAGTCGTGTTTCACGCTAGCAATCCTTTGACCTCATTGTCAGGAAGGAGCGAAGCAGGCCTAGAGGAACAGGAACAAAATCGTCGGAAACAGCGAAGTTCCGTCGGAGTACTGGAGAAACTTGATTGATTATGATATTTTAAAGATCCTACTTTCATTTTAGCTTAGTTTTGGTCGTTTTGAGTGAATTTTGGCCACTCAAAACTTTCTTTGTTTTTCCCTCCAAAATTCAAGATGCCGCTATTGCGACGACAGCCATTTCACAGACAGAAACCCCCACCTGATTTAGATGGAGACGAAGAAGTTTTCCACTGTAAACTGACCAACGAAATATTTAGAGACTACGAGTAAGTACTATCGTTTATGTTATGACATGTCGATTTCACAACTACGATCACCACGTGTTTGATTTTGACGACGATCGTGCTCGCGAGACTTGTTTATGTAAAAACCAAGCCACCGCCATTTTATTGCTAATGCATGCATCTTTGTCTGTCATTATACAGGGAATTCTTTGAGCGCATTATCCTTTGCAATAGCCTGGTATGGTCATGTTCAATCACCGGCCGAGCAGGACTAACATATCAAGAAGCTATAGAATGCGAAGAAAAGGCCCTGAAAAATTTGGCTACCTTTCCTGGATATTTGCAGAAGCCGGTTTTATTTCTGGCCAACCTTACTCATCGAACTCGTCTGGTAGACATGAATGACGACATCTTCGTCTTTGCTAAAGACCGTTTCTTCATAGGCGAAGTTGCAGAAGTGATGCTGGGCGGAGAGAGGTATATAGTATACAAATATTGGTTTTTACTTGTGTTGACTTTGCCAGTTGTTAAATGGAAAAAAATAAATAGATATAGATATTGTGCATAAGGGTAGGGCATTGAAAATTGTTTAAAGCATATAGATAAGGAATGCTTTATTTATCTCTGTTTCTTTGAGGGATAATTTACAGTAGTTATATCAGTTAGTGTTACGTCTGTTATTTCAAAACAAAATTTAAACTCTATAATCCAAGGCCTATGCCTTCAGAAGAGTCAATGGGGACGTCTCTAACAGAAACTGTGTTATAGTTTAGAGAAAATGATGTGCAAAGTTATTTTCATGACAATTTTGAAAGTGTCATGTGATATTCATATACTGACATTCATCAAAACACTGGTAATCACTTCAACTTACTTGCAAAGGTATCTAATATTGTTGAACATCTGTACAACAATGAAACTTAGAAAAACATTAATTATTTTGCTTTTTCTATCCAAATTTCTGGACAAAATTGTAGAAGCATTGTGAAATAGAAAATATCAAGAGGGTGTCTGTATTGCATATGTCCTTGGCTGACGGAGCATGCTTCTTTGGCTCATTTGGTAGAGCCACGGATTATCATGACTGAGAGCCATATTTGATGCTAGTTGGAGGGATTTTGCTCTTGTTCTTTCTCATTTCTAATTTTGCTGCTGATAATTATGGTCAGAAATTTCACCTCGGACAATCATTGTCAAAGCCCAGACCTGCCAACTTTCCTGATTTTCATTCCCCGTCCCTGCCATCCGATCATATGTATCAAAATTAGGGTAATCTCCTAATTTTAGAGATTTGCCAGGTAGGTCATAAGTAACCTTGCTATATTTGCCAAACAGGAATAATTTCAGGTAAGACTGACCACCTGGTCACATAGTCCTAGCAATCTCAGTGTACTACCCAATTATCAAATTAGTGTCACCCAAGTTCAGCATTGCTTACCGCTACATTTGGAAGCACATGAGTACACAGCCTGTTGTTCTCAACCTCGGGAGTGGGTCCTGGCAAATAGTTAAGAGAAGGTCATTATACAGATAATGATGAAGTTATAACTATATACATGCTACCTATTCGTTCAACATAACAAATTCAACAAGTAAATAGTTTGAAAAACGATCTTTATGATGTGACAATATGCAGACGTTCCTCAATAAGTGCCAATGATTTAACAATATCAATCTTTTTTTTTTAAATTTAGTTGGCATCCTGAGTAAGAAAGACGAAAATTTCATGTAATGTTCTCCCCATATTTCTGGATTTGAATCTGTACAGTTATTCAATAAATTTATATTTCATAATGAAACAAGAATTTCCAGAAAGAAATTAGTTCCACATTTTTTTGCTTATTGCTCTAAAATTGTTTTAAAATGAAAACTTAAAATCTTATGAGATAATCAAAAATAGATTTTTCTTATTTTAATTGAATAAATTCTTTCAGAATGATAATATTTTGGAAATACATATCATTTCAAACAACTAAACAGATCATTATTACTTATAAATTCAAGTTGATCCTGACTTGATTTTAAAAAACCATCTAATGCTGTACAGTGCCATACTATTTGCCCAATCACATTCCATCCATACAAAACATATTTTCACACTAACTGCCGTAAGATACCAACACCGAAAAGGCCATAATAAACATATCACAAACTGAATCCAACTCAAGAAATCCAACAATTTCCTATGATGAATAGCCTAGTTCGTCGAAACATGTGCATACCATACATATTTGCCATACTATACCAATTGCCATCACGGACCAACTCGTGAAAAAGGCAAAAATGCAACAATCACCAGCTGTATCAAACTCTGGAGATCAAACCATTACAGATACTACTATTACCAATACTGTAGCCGGTATGTCCGACAAGAATGTGTCTGGTTTTAAGCATGCAGAATTTCTATGTAAATTCTGTCAATGCGACATATCTATAATGTCACCATTGTATTATCAATATCACCTGATATAGACAATTGTAATAAGGTCACGACTGAGCCTTAATTTTAACCTTAGCTTCGCTAATATTTATACAGTTCTGATGATGGCTAGCCTAGTGAGCAGAAACATGTAAACTAATGATAAAGCCATGGAATCTAGATATTGATGCTCCGTCTTCTATGTCATTTTTTGGAATTGTTACATTTCAATAAAGCATGCACATTATTGACTTAAATGTTGCAATGTGCAAGGTATTATGGCTAGTCAAAAAAATATTCTTGACACACTTTCCTTCCACATGAGAATTTTGAAAACTTGGCTGGTATTGGAGTCAACAGCAAGGAAATTGTTTATTTTTGTAGGAAAGCTTGCAAGATTCTACGTGTAATTCCACCAAGTACAGGTGTATCGGATGTGAATGGATGTATTGTTATAGACTCGGATGAAGAGGAAGAAAGGTACCTATTGTTCCTCCTGTGATATTTTTATCATTAATTAGCTGTGGTTTGAACCTGTGTATAGAATATAATATAGATTTTATTTTACAATTCATGCTGATTTAGTTTAACCTGAAATTGAAGTCAGGAAAGTAGAAATTCCTAGATAGGTAAATATTTAAAATGTTTAAAAAATGACTATCAAAATGATCTGTTTTATGCTGGTCAGTTAAAAAATTGTTTCCATATTTCAAGGTAAATAACTCCTACTCTTGTGTGATTAATTTGTTTCAAAATAATTAGTTCAATTTACAAAATGAGAAAAGAGAAGAGGAAAAAAACAATGATAAAAAGAAAAAATGATGATACCTAAATCTCATCTGTTCATGGTTGATTTATTAAGATGTTCTTAAACTAAAAGCAGATAGTTGATTTAGCTCACCTGTTGACATGAACGACCTTGACCAACTTTCATGGTCACAAGGGTTTTATTTGTTAAAATCTTCAAATAAAATGTTTCCAATTACAAAGAAGCTCACTTGAAAGTAGGACAGTGGTGTGCTTTGGAAGTGGGCTTTTGCAAAGATAGCTCTGCATCTTATTGTCTGGACCTTCAGTATCCTATAACAGTGCACTACACTGCGAAGATGCAGATTTCGGAGTCACACTTGACTGTACATGATCAGTTAATAGGGCCCTGCACGAAATTGCTTGGGATATTGCATTTATTATCCCAAGTTCTAAGGTCATGGTCATTATATACAAAAAATCTTATCGTTGAATATATTGTCTGTGGTCTGTCCGTAAACAAATTTTATCGCCACTTCTTTAGAAATAATGGATGGATCTTTCTCAAATTTCATATGTAGGTTCCTCTTGGTCCCTACATTTGTCTGTTTGATTTAAGGTCTGATCATGATCAGACCCAAAAATGGTGGACAGGTGGCCATCTTGGATTTTGACTTTGCAAGTTTGTTATCACTATTTCTTGAAGTATTTGATAAAACTTTTATTATTTTTTATATGAAGGTTTCCCTTGATACCTTGTTGTGCCAGTTTTATTTTGGTACTGATCCGAAAAAGAAAATGGCCTACAGGTGGCCATCTTGGGTTTTGATTTTGAAAGTTTGTTATTGCTACTTCTCAAGAAATGTTTCTCATATTTCATGTATAGGTTGCTTTTTGTTCCTAATTGTGCCTGTTTGAGTTTGAGACAGATCAGAAAAAACAAAATAGCTTCCAGCCGACCATCTTGGATTTGGCAGGTAAAGATTATCATCGCCATTTCTACAAAGGAATGTTCAAATTTCATATCATTAAGAGCAAAATCAAAGAAGGGAAAAGATCAAAGAACAAATAAAGATGGAACAAGGGTGGACGCCATGATCCCTCTGAGATCTCTTGTTTCATAACAGTCTTTCTTGACTATTTTGGCAGAGTGTACTAAAGGTCTTTCCAGTAATCTTGTCAGTTTGGGCTGTGTGTCTAAAGATTAGGGATTGAGGGGTTTCCAGCCACCACATAGTGGGGTCCTTGCCAACCTGTCGGTGTTCTAGTTACCTCTCTAATCACACTCATCTACCATAATGAAATGGGAAGATCTTATCATGATTATATGTCTTGAACCTTCATATGATATAGATATATGTATATATATATAAGTAATCAGCATCACCAATCACTTAAGATTTTATAGCATTCCATATTGATATATCACCTTATTTTAATACACATCATAACACAGTATCTTTGAGTGTCCTTAACACTTTGATTGTTAAAGCCTTCTCTTTATAGGCTTTTTAAGCAATTCAGGCCCATTGGGTGTTTGCTTTCAGTAAAACAAAATGATGAAGCTGTTCAGTAATTTTATGATATGGACACTAGCATCACATTAAAATATATTGATTAATATTGATGTAATGTTTTAGATTGTTTATTTCACATTCAATAAAATACCATTATTAAGGAAGAAGTATATTTGCTATTTACTTTGTTGTTCCAGGTTTTACTTATAGTAATAGTAGACACCTGTTTTTCTGGTGATAGCAATACTGATCCCAAAGTAAACCTCTAATGATAATTTGTCACACATCTGACAGGTACAAAGGGGTGTCTTAAATTTTGGTCAGATCCTTCTTATAATCGTCACATTAGAAGACATTTAGTTTCATGTTTCACACATGTGTGATGTATAGATATTGACATGCGTATAATTGACTCATTTTTGGTGATACGTCAGTTTAACAGTATTGTCAATTCCAGAAAACATATTTCACCTTTCATTAATACATTTATGCTACATGTACTTTGTTATTACATGTATGTAGACAGATGGATCTTAAACCACATGTTCCAAATAATGAGATATGAAGGGAAATTTCAAAATTATTTGACTTGACAAGATTGGATTATCTGAATCTATCTTGGTCTCAAACTAAGTATCTATAATATCTCAGTGGCACCTGATGGGGGGTTTGAATTCTTAGCACTCCTCTGAAGTGAGCACCTTTTCCTTGGTTACATGAGATTCAATTTGTAACCCTTGCTATTTCTTTAATCAGTTATTTTTGTTTGTAGTTGAGTATGAAAACATCTTTTTACGAGGAAAACAATACATTTTTTTTCTTCATATGACTAACCAAAACATTAAGGTTTGCTTGAATCTGCAGTGGTTTCTGATTCTGCATTATACCTATTGCTTAGTGTATATTGATCTTTGTCTATTAAAATTATATATTAAAGTTTTTTTCTTGTTCAGTGTTACATTGCTACTATTTAGTGCTATCACAATCTATTCAATGATACATTCAGAAGAAATACCAGCCCATTTTAAAGATTTTCAATTTGATAGAAGCTTGTCAGGGTTTTCCAAAAGAGCCGGTCGCCGGCCAATTTGACCGGCTACTTTGATCATTTGGCCGCCTACACCAATCCAGTTCCGTAATAATGTTCCGTATACGACTATACGTACACGGCAGGCCAGCCTCCTACTTTCACTACACAGCCTACTACTAACAAAATTATGGAAAACCCTGCTTGTTATTTATTTGACAGTGCAACCAAGAGGAAGGGAGGAGCCATACTGCCAGCAGAACAATACCGATATGTGGTCCAGGAGAGAGGCAAAAACAACATCACAATAACAGTACCCTCCAAACAAATAAGGTGGGACAGGACATTTATCTATGTGTGATTTTCTGTATTTGTACTAATAATCACAATATGGATTTATTCGAACCATTATATATAGCATTTACATTTATTACATGGAAGCTACCTTAATGTTTCATGATGTTCTGATAATTTCTTCACCTGTATTTATGGTCAGCCTATAAATGTCTGACAATGTGCTTCTCAGATTGCCATTAATTGGTCTGTTGTCTATCCTTCTAAGCAATTCTTTTTATCTCTATTTAAAAGTGCCAGATACAGAGGCCGGACCGTTCCTATGTACATTCACCTTTGTCCCTACTGTTAGTGCTGGATGTTAACATTTGATATATATAATATTAGAGGAAGGAAAGTAAAATGAAAATATGTCGCACTTGCTCATAACCAACAAAGATCAAACAATGGTGGATACCAAGATTTCTTCAATAAAAAATTTGTATGTTCAATGAACAATCTTCTTTGACATAAAGTTAAACTTTGACGTTTAGAAGTTCAAGGACCAGTGAAAAAACTTTTACACATCAAGTCTTAGAATCATTCATGAAACAAAAAACACAACTTATCATTGAAATCGACAATGTGTGCTTACATTTACATTTTTCTGTGATGGGTAAACACATATATGTACTTTTGTGTACAGTATATGTATTTTACTGATGATTTTAATTGAAACGTTGGGCAGTGGTCATCGCATATTAAAGCTATTATTTAAATAGTGATACATTAACGTTATAGGCAGTAATGAATTGAAAAGAAACTAAACTAATATAATGTATTCTGTCCAGAAACAACAGCACTAAAATCTCATGTCTAGGTCATAAAAATTTCAGGTGTGTCTGCTGATGTTCTAACAACGGCTAGTCTGAATCAATAGGGGAATGTACAGTTAACAGATAAATCAACATGTTTCCTGTGATCTTATACTTAAACCTAAAAAAGCAATGTTTAGAGGATGAGAGAATTCATTATAAAAGTGTTCAGGTCTTCCACTGTTTTCACAATTTTGTAAATAAGACCTCACTATATATTATTACTGCAATGGCAGCGGTGGACATCACACAAAGTCCCATTATCTTTGTTGATTAAATGTCAGGACTTGTAAGTAAGCTATTAAACTTTAATTTGTGTCCTGTCATTAATTAACCTCCTGACACAAGTAAATGACAAATGATAATCCATTTCTGCCGTCATTTTAAGTTGAGAATGGGACATTGTTGATTTTGATAAAAATATACAAACAATTTTTTCTCCATAACAGTCGCAAAAAAGGCTTGTATACGAGAGATAAGAGCAAGTTGTTCCTTAAGCAGTATTGTGAACCCCATATGGGCATCTGGAGAGTCAAGGTGAGAATTTGTAATTTACATAAAAACATCCCATTTAGAAAGCATTTAATGAGTGTATTCAAGTGTTTATATGTTGTTGCACCACATTCTAAACAAATGTATACTGCTTGTAGCACCAAATTAAAAAAAAAATGTAATCTGCTTGTATCACTATATTAAAAAGTAGTATAATTATATTAGCACCACTTTGTAAACAAAAGTGTACTTCATGAAGAATGATGTCATAAGAACATGTTTTACAACAGCATAGTTATCACTTGTTGTTTGAATTACACAATAATGAATTGTTTGTGTTTTGAAGAATGACATCGTGATCAAGAAGGGGCTTGACAAGGCCAATTTCCAGGACTTTTTCTCTGGCCCAGTGCCAGGATTTGAAATAACAGAGTCAAAGAGAAAAATGCTGTCTGCCTCAAAGAAAGATGAGGAAATGGAGGAACAAGAAGTCACAGGGAAAAAGAAAAAGAAAAAGGAAAAAGAGGAAAAGCCAAAAAAAGAAAAGGGTAAATTATTTGTATGTGATGAAGCTACAACATGATGTGGTTTATATATCCATCAAGTGTAATCATAATTGGCACTTAGAGTTTCTGCATTTTAGCTTTACATTTTTCCCAACATGAAATGACCAGGGTATATCATGTAGCCTTAGCCTGCCATTTGGCTTTATGTTGGTTTCTGCAAATTTAGTCATTGATTAATTATGATAAACATTTGGAATGTACCTTTCCCACAAATAAGCCCCATTGGTACTTTTGAACCAAACATTGGTTAGTGTCCCTGAAACATATACATCATTATCACCTATCATGTCTGTGTCATATCACCTCATCCCTCTTTCTCTTGCTTTGTTTCGTGGCAGTATTGATTCTTTAGAGCTATGATTATTGGTCAGGCTTGGTAGTTCATCATTTGTTACAGTTTGGAGGGATGTCTTGCCTCAAACTTTGTTGATTCATGGTTTCCATGGCTAGGTCCAGTCATGTCTTATGTCCACAAAGTCTCATTTGATTTTTTTTGGTCCTTGCCTTCATCAAGATAAAAGCAATTGATTTAAGTGTAATATTTAAATGATCAAAAGTAATTGATATGTAGTTTGATAATTTCTCTTAGCTGAAAAATCTCAAAAACCAAAAGCTGAGCTTGAGTTAACTATGGAACAAAAGGCAGCTCTCAAAGAACAGCTAAAACAACAGAAGATTGCAGAAAAAATGGCAGAGAAAGAAGAGAAAAGAAGAAAAATGTTAGAAGAAAAACAAAAGCTAAGAGAGGAGAAACAAAAGGTAACATATATTCTGTTCAACTTTCAATACAGTCTAGCCTTGTAGTTCTGTATATGTACATACAATTCTTGTATGATGCTTACAGGCTCTAATTTTCATATTTGGAAACGTTGTACTTTGTCATTGAATTGACAGTTTATGATTGTCTTAGGATGCTGAATATTTGTTATGTTCTGAAATGTCCATCAATTCATCACATAAATATTATATTGATATGATATTTGAGATGGTTTCTATTGGGCATGTGGAATTTTGTACATGTGAACTTCATTACAGCTTTTTCTTAAGAACATTGATCTTCTTTAAACAGGAAGGTGAAGTTGATTTATAGGTCTTTGTTGTTCATACCACATTTTGTATTTGATCAGAAAAGTGAAATGGCCTTCTGATAACATCTTGGATGTTAACTTCTAAGATTTGTCATTGTAATATCTTGAGAAAAGTGTTGGATGTATTTTTCAAATGTGATTTTTCCGTGGCTCCGAATTGTATAGTTGTCGCTTCCTTTATACTCCTGACTTGGTAGTTGTAGTTGTCAGCAATATCACAGCCTGTATACTCCTGACTTGGTAGTTGTAGTTGTCAGCAATATCACAGCCTGTATACTCCTGACTTGGTAGTTGTAGTTGTCAGCAATATCACAGCCTGTATACTCCTGACTTGGTAGTTGTAGTTGTCAGCAATATCACAGCCTGTATACTCCTGACTTGGTAGTTGTAGTTGTCAGCAATATCACAGCCTGTATATTCCTGACTTGGTAGTTGTAGTTGTCAGCAATATCACAGCCTGTATACTCCTGACTTGGTAGTTGTAGTTGTCAGCAATATCACAGCCTGTATATTCCTGACTTGGTAGTTGTAGTTGTCAGCAATATCACAGCCTGTATATTCCTGACTTGGTAGTTGTAGTTGTCAGCAATATCACAGCCTGTATACTCCTGACTTGGTAGTTGTAGTTGTCAGCAATATCACAGCCTGTATATTCCTGACTTGGTAGTTGTAGTTGTCAGCAATATCACAGCCTGTATATTCCTGACTTGGTAGCTTTAGTTGTCAGCAATGGCACAGCCTGTATACTCCTGACTTGTTAGTTGTAGTTTTCAGCAATATCACAGCCTGTATATTCCTGACTTGGTAATCGTAGTTTTCAGCAATATCACAGCAGCCTGTATATTCCTGACTTGGTAGTTGTAGTTTTCAGCAATATCACAGCCTGTATACTCCTGACATTGTAGTTGTTATCTATGTTACAGGATTATCCTTATTAATCTATTATAGAATTATCAGCTATGTTAACTTGAATGCTTGACATTTACAGGAACGAGAAAAGTTGATGGAGGAACGAAGAGTCCAGTTAGAGTATCTAAGAGAATGGAATCGTATTCGTGATGACATGGAGTGTGATGACCTGAAGGTAACTAAACCTTCATTCTGCAGTGTAGCCCATCTCATCCCTTCTACAAGGTCTAAAGGATTAATGCCCAATAGGGTGTGGTGCTTGATCTGTAACAGAAGCAAGCATAGGCTATCAAATTCTTGAACAATGTTGAGCTTTGTCAATACCAGTGTTCAACTTGTTAATAACCTTGAATAACTTTTTAATGATATAGGATTTTAGCATAATTGTCTTGACAGGACCTTGCTAGTGTAAAGAGATGTAGTGACTGGGATCGAAACGAAAGACTCTATCAACATTGAAAATTGTCCAGAGCCTTCCTATATATAGAATAATTGAAGCATTCTGAAAAGAATCTAGTCTGATCAAGTTAAGTGATACAGACCCATTGAAAATTGTCAAAGGTACTGTGGCTCGTCTTTATCAATACTTCATTTATTTCATGTAGCCACAAGATAGATATTTATTTCTAACTTTTCTATTTGATCGACTTTACAGTGGTTTGATATATGGTTAGTAAAATTTACCTTTCACCTTGGCTTACAATTTTGAATATATTTGGCTGGTGTCTGTTTGCACTTCTCATTGGCCAAAATATATAATGTAGATGGAGATATTCAACACACATATACAGTTACATATAAAGAGCAGTATAGTATCAAAAATCAAATACACTAGTGCTGTTATTAATTTCCAGGTACTACCAGAGCCTCAACCAGTAATGACCAAGATTCCTGTAGAGTCATTTGGTGATGCTGTTATGGTCATTGAATTTATCAATAGCTTCAAATCACTGTTTGATTTGAAAGAGTATTTTCCAAAGGGATTTACATTTGGTAAGTTATAATTTTTGTTAATGAATGTTATTGATGTAGGATAATGCAGGTAAGACTGGACAATAAGTTAAATGTTTTTTTTGGTTACTGAGATTTTCTATCAAGTTATATTCACCCTGACAAAGTGATATTCTGAAGGCCATCACATTATGTGGAAGGGTCAAAAATTAGATAACTGAAAGATGTAGTAGAAAGCTTTGCTAGAAACTGACTAGAATGTCAAATGGACCTGTATACATTGTAATGTTATAGAGGTATTAGAGAAAGCTTTGCTGGAGACTGACCATAATGGCACACTGACCGACATCCTTCTCATGATGATCACTGCTGTGTTCACCCTTCAAGAGGAGGAGGAGGAAGAGGAGGAGGCTCTGTCAAAGAAAGACAAGGGAGATAACCAATGTAAGTAGCAATACCTTGTTGCCAAGAAATTGTTCCAACTGCCATATAATGCAGAAGGAACTTAGTGAAGGGTATTGTTAAGATGATGTATATTCTAATATGTATATATATACATATTCTATAGCAATTGTATGAAGTGTGAAGGGTGTTCAATAAAGGTAATGATGCTAGAGTAATTATATAATGTGTAATGAAGGGCATTATTCAGGTAATAGCGCCTTCAGTGAATTACTGGATTATATTCACCCTTTTATACAACTTTATTATTCATCACAAAATGAACCAGTTTTATTCCTCATCATTGGTGAATAATGGTATCAAAGAAATCAACACATACTAGAGCACTTTTAGAAATATGATTGGATTTTTTCTCTAGTGGTAGACATTGTGGATGTTACGGACGTATCCAGTTACCAGCTGATAGAATCTGCAAGCAGTTACTCACAGATCCCTCAGCTTAACCATGGTAAGATAGTTTAGGAGCATTTGGTATAAGGTATAAGATATTTTTACCCTTGTCTGATATCTTACCTTCTGGTAATTTTTGAAGGGGTCAAAATTTTCATGATTTTCTTTTAAAATGATAAAATCATTTCAACGAATTAAAATTTCACAGTCTGGATGTTAAAGGACTCAATATTTCACGGACTGAATTTTCATGATCACTTTACAGCGAAATAGCAAAAATATCACTGCAAAAATAACGGCTATACGATATATCATTTGATGTCACACATTTATTTGGTTATCTTAACCAGAAGATAGTTGTTTGCTTCAGGTAGGACAAAATTTAACACCTGGTTATTTGCAGTCACTGTATTTCTTTGTTTTGTTTTGTGTTTTTGGACAAAACAATCCTGCACATTTGCATATTTTGTACAAGTGTTCTTGGTAGATGAAGACATAGTCCTTGGAAGGAGAATTCTATATTGTTCATGATGAAACTGCTGTTTGTGATCAGAGCTACATCTAGGTAGATTGAGTACATGTTAATCTGTCTTTTACACTGCAATATAAGTTATAAAGGACATTTCTAGTTAAAATATTTTGAAATGACTTATGAAATTGTCCATTTTTTATGATTTTGAAGAATTGTGGTCACTTGCATATATATGTGAAGCACAATAATTGTATTATATTAAGCTCTTCATTTTATATACATTATTTGAAAAGGGTCCTTACTGAAGAAGTTGCCTCTGGATTCCTTCACTCTGTCAGAGATCCTCCGTCTTCACCTATTGTCATCAGGGGCTAGGGGAAAGGAAAAGAATATTAAATATCGCTATCAACAGAGGGGTGGTTATACGTCGCAGGATGATCCTGGACTGGACTTCAGGCGTCAGGAGCAGGCTATACTCAAAAACCTCTCCTCCTTCTGTGTGTTTGACCTTGAACCAGGTATTTTAAATCAGCAACATCCATGCATTAGATAATTGAGTATATCATTAATGTTGTTTCTTCAGCCTATTCATCCAGAGTAATATGCTATGTTCTAAGGTTTATTAATCCATGCATCAATTTTCAGGAGTACTTTATGTATTGTGTTTCTTGTGGCTGGTGTAAACTTTTCTGACAAAAGCTTTGTCAGCATTTTATTTATAAAGTTTTATATTGAGATCTGTTGTTCAAAATCTGTATATTCAATACCATGGGGATTTGAAATATAATGAAGTCACATAGTCAACACCTTGTACAACCTATGATTAGGTAAATAAAACCCAGATCTTGTGGTCTAGGAACTAAAAAGATTTAAGACCCTTAAGATTTCCCTCTCTAATCTGATAAAGTGGTAAAGATAAATTGTGAGAAGTTATAATTTTGAGATTATCGATATCACTGAAATGTTTGCATGACCTTCAGTTTGTAGCTTTTAGGTAGTTGTGGGGAAGGAGGGGTCACTCTGTTGTATATCTTGAAAAATAATTTTGATAAAAAAGGATGCATAAATAAATAATTTGGACATAAATTTTCACATAATTCCTGTTGTAGATGACAAGTTGAAGATTCTACGTGTGCTGATCCAACAGATTCTGACATATGCAGCAACACGAGATACCATTGAGGATAATTATGAGAGATTGCGTCAGTTGAAATCTGACCTTAAACAGATGCAGTGGAGTGAGCACCGTCGGGAGCGTGAGGAAGCAGCCATCAGGTGAGTGTTAAGGTCCAGATGTGATCTTGGTGTAGACGGTCACAAAGGTAAAGTTAAATTGAGAAAGATAATGTATACAAGTTCGTTTTTATAATGCTTCAAGCATTTTGACTTAGAAAGGAAGAAGTATATGATAATGTGAAGAATGTTTTAAATGTTATGGAGTGTAATTTAACTTAATTTTGAGTTTTCAGTTGTCTTGTATTCAAATTCAAAGTATTCAATAATTTTGTGAAATTTTTTTCCAGATATAAGCGTCGCCAAGAAGAACGGATGATGGAACGAGAAAAAATGGAACAAAAACGTTTGAAAAAAATGCAATTGTATGAGGAAAGATTGAGGTTACAAGAGTGAGTGTTACATTGTCTCCCTTTACTTGTCTGTAAGCTCTGTGACTCTGAAGACTTACTAGATTTGGTGGTATTATGATGGTGAAGTTACAGCTCTGTACAAATTGCTCTTGTTTAGGATTATAAATCAATAGACATTCTTCCTAACAAGAATTAATGTTAATTCCTGTGTTAAGCTTTGCTTATAGAAATATGAACTGAGTGTATCCCTATTTCTTAGTTAAACTGTTGATAGAAATGGACATAACATTTTAAGGTAACAAGTGCATGTGATAACACTGAATGAAGTCTGATCTTTGAAAGGCCACTTGCCAAACATCAGCTGTGCTATAAACCACTTGGCCTTAATTTTAGATACACCAGTAAATTAATTGCAGTTATGAGTTGACCATCCTGTTAGAGAGGATGACAGATTGTTTATTAGATGCTAAGTAAATCTTCCTTTGCATTGTAGGAGTGGCCTACCTGTGCCACCTTTACCTGAGGAGGAGGATGATGAGACCGATGTGATCCGATCAGAGCAGGAGAAAGAGCAAGAACGTCTACAGGAGGAGGAAGAAGAGGCTAACAAGAAAGCAGAGTTTGGGTTACAAGAGAAAGAGATGATTGACTCTATATCTCGCCTTCAGCATGCTAGTCAGACCTATCCTCTTGGGCGTGATCGATTGTATCGACGATACTGGGTGTTCCAGTCACTGCCAGGACTCTTCATTGAAGATTGTGAAATGCATGTCAAGGATGAATACTTGAAACCTGTTCCACAAAATCCAAGCTCCAATCCTTTTATCAACAGTTCAGTTTTTGGGCAGCAGCTCCCACCTTCAGTAATTCAAGTACCTCCTAAAAAGAAACTACCAGAAGAAAATGGAAGTGACAAAGAGAATGATAGCATGAACACATCATCCGTGAATAATAGTATGAATTTATCAACAGCTGACAATAGTATGAATGTGTCCAATGTCAGCAACAATACTCCAGAAAATAATACATCCATCAGCACTAATCTAGTCAGCAATGGTCCAACAGAAACACCATTAAGAAATGGTGCGAATACTGAGAGGGCTGGTGATGAGGTAGTGACAATTAGTGATGATGACTCACAGCAAAGCAAAACAGAGGGTATGGACATCGATCAAGGACCCCCAATACTTGATAGTCTAGCAAGTAAGCAAATTATGGAAGGTCCAAAGCATATGTGGACCTATATATCAAGTGCAGAGCAGTTTGAGGAGCTGATTAATTCTCTGAACTCTCGAGGGTATAGGGAATCAGCTTTAAAACAAACTTTGATAGATCAAAAAAGCAGAGTGTTAGAACTTATCGGAAAGTGTCCTGTGAAATCTTTATGTACTGCACCAGCTGTTCCTGAAAGACTGACAGAAGAACGAGAGCGAAGTGTGTCACCAGCAATGGAAGGCACATCCAAGAAGGCTCCAGTGAAAAAAATGGCAAAAGGCCTAATAAAGGGAGATCAGGCACAGGAAGTGTTAGAAATAAATCTTAGGGAGTTGTTACTGGATCTGGAGGAGAGAGTATTTGTAGGAAGCCTGGGATCTCTCAAGGTATTTAGACTTCAGGAATTCAGAATCTGATTTAAGCTATACACATCATCTTACATTACTCACTCATTTCAACTTATTTTCGACAAATTGAGAAGTTTCAAGTGATTTTAAGGACAAGTTGTATTTGATAATACCTGATTTACAATGAACTAAGTGGTTTAATCCTTTTGTCATATGTGTCATAACATCGCCATAATGATTTGTCTATTCTTTCTCATTTGAGATATCATTATTACATGATTTTTAGGTCGCCTGAGCCGAAGGCTCATGGTGACCTATTGCCATCATGATTTGTCTGTCGTTGTGCGTCGTTAACTTTTTACATATTCAACTTCTTCTCAAGAACCACTGAATGGATTTTGACCAAACTTGGCACAAAGCATCCCAATGGGAAGCTGCTTCAAGTTTGCAAAGAAAAAAATCATAGCCCCAATAGGGGCCTCAGGAGGGGGGAAAAGGGGGTAAAATTTGGTTAATCTTTAAAAATTTTCTTCTCGTGAACCAACAGTCAGATTAAATTCATATTTGATAATTAGAGTCCTTATGGCAACGTCTACAAAGTTTGTGAATGAAAAAAAAAATCGGGTCAAAAACGGCCCCACTAGGGGGCGCTCAACAGGGTCGAAAATTCAACTTTGACCAATTTCAACCAAATTTGGTAGAAAGCATCCCTTAGTGAAGGTCATATGAAATTATGTTGAAAAAAGTGATAATGTTCCATTTGGGGCCCATAAGGGGGTGGGGGTGGGGTGTAAAAGGGGCCATATGTAAAAACCTTCATTAAATGACTACTTCTCAAGAACCATTGGATGGATTTTGACCAAACTTGGCACAAAGCATCCCCATGGGAAGCCGCTTCAAAGTTTGCGAAGAAAAAGGGCGTGGCCCCAATAGGGGCCCCAGGAGGGGGGAAAAGGGGAAACTTGATACGAATGTTCGACACAAGGTCCTGGCAAGTGTTTCAACTTTTTGGGGCGATTCAAAATCCAAGATGGCCACTGTTTGGCTAAGACATTATGGACTTCCTCTCAAGAACCATTGGATGGGTCATGTTCAAACTTGGTACAGATGTTTTACACATGGTCCTGCACAAGTGTTGTTACATTTTTGCAACATTTTAAAATCCCCAGCTTATTGACATATATTCCTCAGGTGACCGTTAAGGCCCCTTGGGCCTCTTGTTATGTTTGATGGAACGAGAAAGAATTCCGAAATTCATTTCCTCAATTGTTGCGCCACAGTGTAAGCATCAAAATATTTTGAAGTTTCATAAATATTTTGTAAATATTTACATTTTAAAATGGAAACAGGAGAATGATATACATTTAGCTTAACATTAATTAGTTATTAATAGTTATAATGATTGTATAGTTCTTGGATCAGTTGGTGACATTGTATTTATTGTTACACACACAAAAAAATCATATTTTAATTCTGCTGAAATTTTTATTAGTTTCTGTTGCTAGAATTTATCAACTTAATTTATGATTGTTTTATCAGGTTAAAGATCGATTTGTATGGAGAGATGCTATTGAGCATGGCAGCTTCGACCCTCAGACAAATGATCCTGTTTTCGCTAAATTTGATGAAAAGATTGAAAAGTATGCATTATTAAATATTTATGTTAAACATAAAGAACACATGCATCTTTCATGTAAATGGTTTACATTTTTCCCAAAGTACCAGTATTAAAACAAATTTACATATACACCTTATGTTTAGTAATTATCAGGCAAAATTCTGCTGTGATTTTAAGAATTATCATTGTTTCAATTTTTGTTGTAATTTGAAATGAAATTCTTTCTTTGATTTGAAGGGACGATGATGACTCTTCCTCTTTAAGTTCTGAAGGATCTTCTGAATCCACAGTCAAAGACCTTGCAAAGGCTCTGCTTCAGATAGAGAAGGCAGTTGAACCCAAGTACATGACACCACCTCTAGGTAAGGGTAACACAGCTGTGTATTCAGGCATTGATATCTGTCAGTGATGATACATTATGAAATTCCTGAACTACATCGGATATGTTTTGAAGATGTCAAGAAATAATATTCATTTCATTTTGTATAGGTGAGAACGCTGAAAAGCAGAAGTTAAAGCAGCTTAAAAAGAAAAAGAAAGAAGAAGAGGAAGATAGTGATGGTGTGTATTTTCAAGATGGTCACTGCCAATGTTAATCTTGCTAAGGTTCTCGGTACATGAATATATGCTTTTGTTAGGTCATCTTACCCAAAGGGTCAAGATGCAACCTATTGCTATCATGCATATGTGGTCTTGCGTCATGCACCGTCAATAAACTTTCCCTGTAAAACACTACTGCGGTGGATTTTACCAAATATGGTCTGAAACATCATTGTTGATGGGGAATTATTTCTTGGATTCAGAAAGTTGATTCAACCTCTGGGAATGTGGGGATGGGGCCCCAAAAGGGAGTTAGACAATACTTTGCTTCTACCTTTCCATAATGCTTGAATGGATTTCATTCAAATTTTGTCAGAAACAGTGGCTAATTAATTCTTCAATTCAGAAAGTTGATTTGACCCCTTGGGACTTATGAGGGCAGGTCCCCAAATGGTAAAATTAGTCGATATTTTCCTCTCTGACCAAATTCTTATTTTTTTCCCTCTGGTCCAAAATCAACATATCTCATTGTGAACAAATAGTCTGGACTTATTCTACCAATTTTCATTCACACCATTGTGAAACTGGAGTTGATTTGTTAAGAAGAAGAAAGTGATGATATCGTTTTATTTTCAGCCTGATCAAAACTTCAACATGATAACCAGTTATTTTGTAATGATTGCACATCTGTTTTTCATTAGCAAAACCTATCATTTATGAGTTTCTTATACTTACAAGGAATGTTCATAATTTGAATTCATCAGATTTGTCAGATGAACATTAAGGGCCATGGCCCTCTTATTGTTGTAGAGGGAGTAATGATGGATGGTTTAATTGATGCTTGTTGTGCTTGAGACATTAAAGCATTCTTAATAATATTTATTGTAAAAGTGTTTTTTTCCAATTATTGCAAAATTTACCATTTCTTTATGTAGTATGAAGCTTGATAACAAAGGACATTTCTTGAGATTGGTGTTTCCTTCAACAAAATTGATATTGGTTTTGCCTTACCAGCCATTGTTGTTTATTTAGGAGAAGAAGAGGACACTACTAGGAGTCAAGGACGGTCCCTGTTAGAGAGATGGGAGGATTCCCTGCTGTACTCTACTAGTCTGTCACAGATATTCCTTCATATGGCCACTCTAGAAAAGAGTATAGCCTGGTCCAAATCAGCCCTCCATGCACGGTGTCGAATATGTCGCAGGAAGGGTGATGCTGAACAGATGTTGCTGTGTGATATGTGTGATCGAGGTCACCACATGTATTGCCTAAAGCCTAGACTTAAGGTTAGTTTTAGTGTAGGTTCATTAGTGAGAGAGGTTACCATGTGTACTGTTTAATGCCTAGACTCGAGATATGTATTGATGGCTTATCTGTGATAGAGGTAATGAGATCATTCTTGATGGTTTGTACCAGAGAACACAAGTTCAGTCTTGGTTTGTCTGTGACAAAGGTCACCATATATTGTTGTAAGTTCATTTGTGTAAGTGGTCACCATATATTGTAGATGTATCAATGTTAGTGGTCACTATATATTGTAGGTCTGTCTGTACTAGTGGTCACTATATATTGTAGGTCTGTCTGTACTAGTGGTCACTATATATTGTAGGTCTGTCTGAACTAATGGTAACTATATATTGTAGGTCTGTCTGTACTAGTGGTTTCTATATATTGTAGGTCTGTCTGTATTAGTGGTCACCATATAGTGTAGATATATCAATGTTAATGGTCACTTTATAATGTAGGTCTGTCTGTACTAGTGGTCACCATTTATTGTATTAAATGTTCTAGTAATCATGATCCATGTCGAAGATCACTTACATAGTAAAAATATTTGACGTAAGTTAAATTGTTTGATTTGACCCAGAAGGGTGTCTTGAGCAGATAGTATTACAGTATTCTAGAAGAGGCTTGTTAGGATATAGTGATAGGGGTTAAACATTGTTTTCCCAATACACTAAATTATGTTATGGGATAATTATAACTTTACAGAACGTTCCCTCTGGAGACTGGTACTGTCCAGACTGTAAACCCAAGGAGACCAAGAGGAGCCCTCTGAAGAGTCGACGGCGTACATTTAGCGAACAGTCAGAAGATGAAGAAGATGATGAAGAAGAAGAAGCAGATAGGTAAGTTATAAAGCATGTTTCGATGAAGAATTGTGTGTTGTTCATTTATACACCACCCAAGTCTGTACAGCTCAATGTCTAATGCCTAGACTCAAGATGCATAAACTGAAGATCAGTTTGTTGTCATGATATTAATGCCAAGTGCCATAGGAAGAAGTGAAAAAAATCACTCTTATGTTTCTGATAGTTGTGTTGCCAAAAGAGAAAAAGAGTAGATTTCTCAGTGTGTTAAATGTCATGCACTGATATTTTGAGTGGTCATTCATTCAGTTTTTAAGTGTTACCAAGTTCTGTTTTAGTATTGAGTGTTAGTTGGACCTTGTTACATAAGAAAACAATCATGTTATGTGGCAATTATGACACAATATAAAGTGTTTTAAATTGGCTTACATAAACAATATCACCTGGTGGTTCATGTTTGATTTGACTACTAAAAGTCAACTGAAGTGATAACTATTAAATATAGTTCAACATTCTTGAAAGGAAGTCTTTAAATGTTTGCAATTCCTGATTTATAGTGATGAGGAGGAAGAGGAAGATGGTGAAGAGGAAGCAGAAGAGGAAGAGGATGAGGAAGAAGAGGAAAACAATGACAACTTGTGTGCTGTGTGTAGTAAGGCGGGCATGCTCATCTGCTGTGACACATGTCCCTTATCCTATCATCTGGCCTGTGCTAAACCTGCTCTCAAGAAGGTACCAAAGGGCAAATGGCTCTGTCAGATCTGCTCTGGTGTAGGAAAGCAGGGAAAGATCAAATTTCCAGGGAAAGGTAATTAAGTAGTCTTCAGAAGTCCAACAAACACTGAGACCTATTCTCACCTTACACCCTGTGGTAGGCATCTGCTCTTCCATCACCCAAATCAGCTATTTATAGCCTGGACTGAATTTTACACCATAAAAAATCCCAACAATGCACATATGCCTCCATGGAAAGGATATAAAATGTGTTTTGAAATGAGTGCACGAAGTAGTTGTTGTCAAATATATACAATGGATACAAAAATTGTTTTAAATGACAAATTTGAACTATTTCATACTGATATCAATATGCTTCTTCTCTGTTGGAATGAAAATCATATCATTAACACTGTTCAATTATCTTTCATCAGCAATACTTTCGAGGTCTCATACACTAGATATTTTGTGATAAGGTTAAAGTTAATCAAACAACATAACTGAAAACATGTTTTAGATATTTTCATTTATTCTAGTGTTATATAGATGATCATACATATTTGAAAGGGTGACTGATTTCCAACGTAGTTCTAAAACAGGAAGTTTGTATTTCAGTTCCATTTTCAGTAGACCTACCACCATGGACTTCTTATCAATAACTAAGTCCATGGTACCACCATGTATCTTAGATCAAGTTTCTTACATGATTTATCAAATAGGTGTTTGAAATATATTTCACTTTTGAAAACCTTATGATAACAACAGACTAATTGAAAAGTTTATGAAAACTTTAATATGAAACAACAATGACTAGACTTTCTATAATTAGTTCTGGTGGTAAGCTTACACTCTGTTCATATGCAGGGATGAGGAAAAGATCAAGAGTGTGAAAGACATATTTCTTTAAAATAAATGTTGATGGCTAACTCCATAGATGTGAACAAAGCAGTCTTTAGATTCCATCATCAAATTTGTGTAGATAAAAGCTAGTAATTGTTTTAATTTTGACAGCAGTACTGATCAGATGTCATAAGCTTATATACCTGATTGTGAATTTACAGCATATCATAAAGGGCATGTAAAGATGCTTGTGAATTTACAGCATATCATAAAGAGCATGTTAAAATGCTTGGACAGCTAATAGGCCTTTATGGGTTTTTTTATTTCAATCGATATCAATCTTGTGAATCAAATATAATCTATAGATTTTTGTGGTAATTTCTAATGTGTATAATCACGATCAAGGATTTATCAACTCTTTTTTCCATTGAATTGAAACCTATTGAAGGCATGATTGGTTAATATTTTGACTTTTTAAAGAAGGAAAATGTATAGATCTTCTTGACTTTTGATTTGTATGATTAATATATATAGATGTAATTGGAATGAGTAATGCAAAACACAGCTCCTAGCAGCAAGGGTTTGAATTAGACCTACATCTTAAATCATATATCTTTGTGGTTTTCACCTCTACCAATACCTTGTACTTCACACTTTGATTTGAACTAGGTTTTCGTGAAATGAAATTGAGGATGGAATGTCTCAAACAAATTGTGCATAAGTTAGAAGTTTTATTGTTGTTATCAATAACTATCATCCCTGATCTTTTTTTTCAAGACATACATAATCCAGATTTGAGTGCTTCAGTGAGAGAATATGATAGCTTTGCAAATTCCTGATAATTTCTATTTTTACATTTTTGATATGCTTCCACATTGAAATGGATGGGGACATAACATAACCTAGTCCTTCATTCAGTGTTTTCGTGTACATGTATATGTATATAAGAATTGGCTTTTAGTTGATTTTTTGTAATTTGATATGATTTGCCTTGATATTGTCATTTTTTCAAGAAGTTAGATATCAAAATCTTGATAAGCTTCAGTACCATGGAGGTGCTAAGAGGTTATTTACGTTAACAGGTCAATGAGTTCATTGCATTAGTTTGCTAGAAAATACCAAGCAGAATTAATGATCAAGAGAAGTTTTGGTACTTATAAATACAAAAAATGTCCCAGCATTAAGATGTCCTCTTTAGCATCATATGTTTGTTAATCATAAGAACTAAGGAAGTATGTCTTGAATGAGCTAGCTCTGCTTAGACATTTCTCCACTTTCTACCTATTGTTGTGATTTGCATTATATTAGATATCTTGAGTACCAAACTGACAACTTATTCTTATTTCATGTCATCTTTAGAGAAACTTTTTTACATTAACTAGAAACAAATGCAATACTGATTAGAATATTATATGTAACAGAAATTACTGTCAGTGTGATCATTTTTACCTTATTAATAAGAAGGTTCACTTTGACAGGAAAAAAATGAAATGAAAATCTTTTCTGTTTAAGGTGGAAAGAAAGCTTCAAAGTCAACCCCTACCTCAAGTAAGGCATCCTCTAGGAAGGGAAGTCCTCGTGATAGTCCCGTCACAGTGAAAAACTCACGCAAGAGGAGTCGACCAGCCTCTCCAATGGATGAGGTTAAACCAAAGCTTAAGAAAGCTGCTAAGTCCATGTCAAAACTGGCTCAGGATGTAAATGGAGGTATGGAACAGTATTGAACAGACTTTGATAGATTTTGTAGTCTCCTGTGTTTATTATTTTAAAAGATTTAAGAAGTCATGTTGAGGTTAAGGTCACATTGAAAGGTCAAGGTCATAATGTTAGCATTGCATGATATTATTTTGGAAAGTTGAGGGTGATTATGAACCATTTTTACAAACGAGCAGAAATGAGAGTAAAGCCTCACTTCACTGTCACTTTTACAGAAAGTGAATTTCATTTGGACATATGGAGTCAAAGTGGAGAGGAGACTACATAGTTTGAGGGATATCTACTGCTTAGGGCTAATTGAATTTTACATCTCCTTTGAGATGAAATGTGGTATCTCAATCTTAGGGGAAAGATATGATTAAGTTGGTAAACAAAGGGCTATCCAATCGTTTGCAACTTAATTATATTTTCCCAATGATGGAGAGACCTCTATCTCACCAACAAGGAGGTGAATGATCATTTTCTATACTCTGCTGGCCATCATAGTTATATGCTTATTTTTTTCTCATTGCTTTGGATCATTGATGTCAAAGATAGAAAAGGAGAATCTCCTATCTGTATCCACACCAGGAAAAGTGTTGTCGACAATAAGAGAAAATATTTGAATCATTGATCATGATAGCAGATCGTTAGTAAGGATATGTATCGACTTCAAAAGTTATAAGAAGTATGTTTTCATTTGAAGATGCTGATATTAAGCAAGTTGCAACCACCAGTTCACGAGGCAATTCCAAAGTACAACATATGAAGATTTGTGAAGACCTTGTCCTTGAATTAGTTAAACATGAAGACAGCACGCCATTCCTGAAACCTGTCAGCAAAAAACTGGTAGGTTTGACTCGTCTTTAAAGAAGAGGTCTTTATTCTCACTGGTAATGTAGATCATACATTAGACAGATCGGCACTCTTTTTTGTTACCCTTGTACAAATTTGATAAGGTTGAGATTCTTCTTGTCACACATGTTTTCTCTGTACTTACATTGTAATCAAACTTTATCGATCCTCACATAAGTTTTTGCCTGCTTGGTACTCACACTGGTTTCTCTGTTCTCACAATCAGTCTTTATCTATCCTCACATAAGATTTGTCAGCTTGGTACTCCAACTAGTTCCTCTGTTCTCACAATCAGTCTTTATCGATCCTCACATAAGTTTTGTCAGCTTGGTACTCACACTGGTTTCTCTGTTCTCACAATCAGTCTTTATCGATCCTCACATAAGTTTTGTCTGCTTGGTACTCACACTAGTTTCTCTGTTCTCACATTTGTAATCAGTCTTTATCGATCCTCACATAAGTTTTGTCAGCTTGGTACTCGCACTGGTTTCTCTGTTCTCACAATCAGTCTTTGCCGATCCTCACATAAGTTTTGTCTGCTTGGTACTCACACTGGTTTCTCTGTTCTCACAATCAGTCTTTGCCGATCCTCACATAGGTTTTGTCTGCTTGGTACTCACACTGGTTTCTCTGTTCTCACAATCAGTCTTTGCCGATCCTCACATAAGTTGATATCTCTCGATCTTTAGTCTGGGCAATAATAAATTACGGAACTGTAAGTAACTTCCCATTTTCATGGTTAGTTCTAATAAAAGGTGTATCCCATCCCTAGACTCAAAATTTTGTTTAGAGCTATTACAATAAAACATCTATTCAATCCCGTGACTCCTGGTTTGTAGTAGGGATAATATCTATACCATCCCAGGATTCTAGGTTTTGTTTAGGACTTTCCCAGTAAAACATCTATTGCACCCCAAGACTCACATTTTTTTTTTTTTTTTTTAAATTGCTTTTTCATTCAACTTCTTGTAATAATGGCTTTCATCCCAGCTTAAGAGCCACAAATTAACTACCAAGATAAATATTTCCTTATATGTTGATCTACCACTAAGATTTTGTGTCTTTGCAGGTTCCAGATTATCATGACATTATTGCATGTCCAATGGACTTCTCAACAATCCGTAACAAGATCAATAGTTTTATATATACGGATGCATTAAGTATAGTGAAGGATGTACGACTCATCTTCGCCAACTGTGCTCAATACAACAAAAAACAGACTCCTGAGTACAAAGCTGGAGGGCTTCTTTCCAAGCTGTTTGAGAAACGACTCAGGGAAAACCACATAGACACTGATGATTTAACTCCACCCAGCAAGAAACAACGACGCACACTATAGTGTTGATCGTAGTGTCCATTTTGTATAGAACTGGGTAAAGGTGGTTATCACCTTGAAATATTTTTTTTGTGGCACAATTTATAAGTGCATATCAATGGCAACATTTTGCAAATTGAGTAAATTTGTAGTAATTTTGGATTTAATTGATCTTGTGCATGTGAGAAATTGTTTTCAAGAGTTAATGCAAGGTTTCAGTTATCAGTATGAAATTATGGATATTTGTGAATGCTAATTTGTTACAATGTTAACTTAAATAGTCCGTTTCTCATCTTTGTTATGAAAATATGATGTGTGAAGTAGCACTTTTAACTGATTGAAGTAAACTGACACTTGATGTAGAAATCCTGACCTAGGATTGATACTGAGAAAGTGTTACTACTACCTGGTATGTCTGGTTGGTCTACCTGGTGTCCTTTTACCTGTGTTATAAATTAAAGTGCTCAAAGTCAGAATTCCATTTAAGGGTTTGACTGTAAAATATATACATGTAAGAAACTTTTTATATAAAATTATAGAAGTGAATATCATGCCAACATCCAAGATTTCTTAACTAACAATGCTTGGTGTTCAAAATACAGCAGTATTGTCAGTCTGTTATTAAGTATGTAGAAAAATGACAAAGTGATAAAATATTTATTATAAACACAGCACCATAAGTTTGTAGGATATGTGCCTTTTTTAATTAGAACGAAACACAGTGAAAGAAAAAAGGCGTTAGTTGGTTTGATTTAAATTTTACATTTTAAAAGTTTAGCTCCCTTGGCACAAAATGTCTACAATGTCATGTTATGAAGCAGCAACTGTTATCTTTTTTCCTTCTCAAAAATAACTTGCGTCGTGAATGAAAAGCATTTTGATATCAAAGGGACATTACTCTGTGTACAGTTGCAGTGTGGTGCAATAATGTAAAATACGAGATTGATGAAAAGACTCTGATTTAATGAGCTTTTGGTAAGTGTGAGGAGTTCCTTAATCACATGAAATAAGAGTTTTAACATCCCTTTAATGGCACACAAAGAAAATTGTTTTTGAATATTTCAGGAAGAATACTTTACCATGTCATTGACTGAATAATCATGTGTTTACTACATTTTCTATTTAATTATCTAGCACAGGTTAGGATTTATTTCAGAAGAAAAATGTTGTGTTCCATTATTTCTATACTGCCAGGTCTGTAACATGCCATAGCTCTCATTAGTACCTTCTGTAACTCGTGTCTCGTTGGAATAGTGCTGTAACTTGTTTATAATGGATAGAGGGAACAATTTAATGAGGATATTAGTGTATATATAGAATTCTTGTTTAGATGTGGCTAATTAGTACATTTTGTATAAACTTTAAACTCCGTATCTCGGTAAATATTACACTCTTAATAAACCAATATGGTTTAGAAAAAGATTGTATTGACATTGCTATCATGACTTGACCCATTATTTTCAGAAATGAATGACTATCATTAATGAAACATACCTTATTGCATGTGTTCAGTTCATGTGTAAGACCTATGAAAGGTAAATTCTATAAACCTAGTTATAGACTAAAGATGATAAACCATAATACTTGTTCTGTCTTACTGTTAATATCATATTAATGTGATAGTGTTTATATGTTTATTTAACTCATAAGTCACTGTTATAGACAGAAATAACTAGGAATTATTATCAAGCAAAGCTATGAATGGAAAGTGTTATAGGACCAAAAGTTTGTTTGTACTGTGTGTTGGTGTGGTTATATGACTGTTTCACTATTTATCTTCCAGAAATAGATTTTGTCTGTGTTATTAATTGCTGTACTATTAAATTATTGACAACAATATTGTGTGTTGTTCTGTTTACATTTATAATACAAATGATAAAGACTGGTCATGTATAATGAAGACCATTTTGTAAAAAATCATTTAGAGTTTTTTGTGACACAAGTTTATTGGATCTAGATGGTGGACTTTATCTGTGATTTGTTACAACTTAACAAGTCTTCTTTTTAGACCATCATCATCAGATGATGGACTTTTGAAATCGCCCTATGTCCATGGTCTGTCTTTAATTTTTGTTGTCACTATTTCCTCAGAAGTTTTTGACAATGAAAGTTAGTTATCACTATTTCTCTTAGAGGCACTGAATGGATCTTTCTCTAATTTCATATGTAAGTTCCTCTTGGTCCATAGTTGTGTATGGTTGATTTTGGAACTGATAAAAAAAACAAAATAGCATAGAAACCGTCATTTTGGATTTGAAGATTATTACCATTTTTAAGAGGAAAAGATCCAACTTTTAAAGAACAAATGAAGATCTAACAATAGGAGGTGCCAGGATCTCTATAGGATCTCTTGTATCTATTTCTTGAGAATTGCTAGATGGATTTGTAAAATTTCAATTGTATGTTTGGCAGGTTCCTTGTACTGCCCACTCAGTCTTAGGTCTGATCAGGAAAACAGTTTCCACAGCATATCCTTGTCACTATTTGGTGTATGGCCATCAGACATATTGAACCAGTATTATACTGGGGTAAAGGGCTATTAAGTTTGTCCAAATGAACTTACTTGACCCATTTTCAGGTTCCTTGGGGCGAAATATTTTGAAATCTTTTCATGGTTTTTCCATAACCAACAGAACAATGATACTAATACTCTGCCTGTTACATGCTGGTATAGTTGACCGCGGCTCTTTTCAAGGTCAAGGGTCAAGTGTGTTGAACTCTTTTAAACAACTTTACATTAGACAGGAGGCCCAGGCTAAAAATATTTGGCCTATATCATATTTGGAAGAAATAAATGATTTAATATTCTTTAAAAGTGAGAATTGTCAAATAATCAGACAGCTTCCAGAAGACCAAACAGAAATATACGGTACGTGTTTTCTTGGAAAACGTCAAAACAATGATTGAAAAACATAACCTTGACCTGTACGGGCATCAATTATATTTGACCTTGACCCATTGTGTACCAGTTGTAAAATGCGCATGCAAACCGTATTAAAATGTGAGCCCATTAGACCTTGTGTGCAAAGCATAACGGAATGCTTTATATTTACCAATATTCTAAAACTTTCCAGAGTTCTTCAGCTTGTTTTGTGCAGGAACATCCGTATGTAGATGTAACACGAGAACAACCCGTGTACCGTTCCAACACGTTTACTTGACCATTTCCTTCAATATGTTGCCAATCATTTCATATGAAGGCGTCGTACTTAAATGTGGAATTTAGAGAGGATTGTGGGCTGTTTGACCATTTCTTTCAAACAAGAAAGTACAAAAGTTCAATATTTTCCCTCATAATGATAATAATGCGGTCCCCGGTTCAACATTTTCAGCCCGCCATCATCAGACTTGGCTATTCAAATCGCTCTGCGTCCATAGTCCGTCAGTAAACCATTTTTGTTATCGCTATTCCTTGAGAAATACTGTATAAATCTTTCTCAAATTTCATGTATATGTTCCATTAGGTCCCTAGTTGTGCCTATCTAATTTTGGAATTGACCTGAAAAACAAAATGGCCAAAAAGTGGCCATCCTGGATTTTGACTTTGAAAGTTTGTTATTACTATTTCTTGAGAAGTTCTGGGTGGACCTTTCTTAAATTTCATATGTAGGTTCCCCTTGGTCCCGAGTTGTGCCAGTTTGATTTTGGGTCTGATAAGAAAAAAACAAAATGGCCGACAGGCGAACATCTTTGGTTTTGACTTTGAAAGTTTGTTATCACTATCTCTGGAGAACTACAGCATAGATCTTCCTCAAATTTCATGTGTATTCTTTTCTTGATCCTTACTTGTGCCTGTTTGATTTTTGCACTAATCAGAAAAAACAAAATGGTCCACAAGCGCCCATCTTGGATCTTGTCTTCGAAAGTTTTGTTAGTTTTCTTGAGAACTACTAAAATTTTTCTCAAATTTCATGTATAGGTTCCTAGTTGTGTCTATTTGAGTTTGGAAATGATCAGAAAAAAGAAAATGTCCGACAGGCAGCCATATTAGATTTTGCCTCGTAAAGATCGTTGACAAGTATTGAATGGATATCTCAAATTTCATACGTATGTTCCCTATGGTCTTTCCTTGTGCTCGTTTGATTTTGGGACTGATCAGAAGAAACAAAATGGCTTCCAGGGAGCCATTTTTGTTTTGGCAGATAAAGGAATGTTCAAATGTCTTATCATTAAGAGCAAAAACTGAGGAGAGAAAAGAAGGGAAAAGATCCAACTTTCAAAGAGCATAAACAGAGCAAACATTGTGTGCGCCAAGCTCCCTCTGGGATCTCTTGTTCTAGTATACATGTAGTAATAGTTCCAAGATCAAAGGCATAAAGGGTCGGACGGGGTGATGGTTTGGATTTCGAGTAAAGATCCCAGGATCTATGATAGAAGACCGCCTGTGGTAATCTGAAATATAACGTGTACATAGAAATACTTGTTAGTTATATGACTTGTAGTATATCTATTTTTCCTAGCGATTTGATCTCCAACTTTCTAAGAGAGAGAAATGAATGATGTTAGGCAGGAGCCTGTCTTACAGCTCTACACAATAACAACTCGTTTCGAATGTTCAATTTTGCTGGGAGTTGAATAGAATATGTATGCAAGCAATGATTGTTAGGAACATAATGCTGAACTAAACAAATTCAATAATGTAAGTATCACACATAAAGACCTTCGCAAAAATGGCGAGCAACTGAAAAATGACGAAATGGCGATAGTTTCATGATATCGGGAGCTCGGCCAGATGAGGACTGATTCTTTTTGAGACCGAGAACGATTTTTCATTACATACACTTGAATCATTTGTAAAATCCTTTTGTCGGCTTGATTCGATCGAGGTCGTTCGTCTATGAAAACAACGATATACTGGTCTTATTTTGCTTTCCGACAAATCTTAAACATATTTGCAGGCCCGTCACAATTTTTTTTTAGATTATGCATTTGAAATGATGACGATGACAGCCCTCTGAAACGGCCATGATGTGAAAACCCCTTAAAGTGATAAATCACAGTTACCACATATGTATGTGTTTATGTTAATTATAAGGACGGGAATGTGATACGCTTGTGAATTTAAACTAGTACGTATTATGAGTGTTTTACACCAGACGGCACTTCCTTTACGTGGACAAGTGTTATTTCAAATGAAGTTATTTGCACCAAAGCTGAAATACAAACAACCCTAGTTTTACCTTGTGGTAGATTCTCTCGTAATGATTGCACGTTTTGATCTTTAGCCCGGGGTTCTGCTGACTGTTGTTATACGAGACACTGTAATGACTGACTATAGATGATGAGTGCGTCGCTGACCCAAGCCCAATGAGTCGTCTTTGATTGAGCCACTGCCAGTAACTGGCCAAAAACAACAAGAAAATACCAACATGTCAACATAGTCATAATCCAAACTCAAATTCTATAAAACTAGGGCAAAATATGAACAAAAGAAAAATTTAAACGGAGATTCATGAAAAAAATACGAGGAAGACAGACTTCTGTTTCATCGACGACACCCGCCATGTAAAATTTGGTCAATCCAAGGAAGTAATGTCGCGTTCTCACATGAGAACAAGGTATAAAACCACGGAGTCAACAAGCAAACTAACGAGCATCAAACAAAAAAGAAGTAGAATATTTCTCAATGAGATCATATGACGACTGTAAAACCTCTTAAATGTCATCAACTTGTCTCTTTTGAAACCCTGTGTTACGAATTTGTGTGTCAGTTGACGACTTCTTGCTTGAAAATCGTGATGATGGGAAGAAGCCATTGGTTATCGAATCAACTGAGACATGTAAACACCATAGGTTGGTGACGGTTGCTATCCAGAAATGGAAAATGCTGGGGTACAGGTGAAGGTTATCTAACAAGACACCATACTGAGTACAAGTGAAGGTTATCTAACCAGACACCATGCTGGTTTACAATTGAAGGTTATCTAACCAGACACCATGCTGGGGTACAAGTGGAATATATCTAACTAGACACCATTCTGAGGTACAAGTTGAATATATCTAACCAGACACCATGCAGGGGTACAAGTAAAGGTTATCTAACCAGACACCATGCTGGGGTACAAGTAAAGGTTATCTAAACAGACACCATGCAGGCGTACAAGTAAAGGTTATCTAACCAGACACCATGCTGGGGTACAAGTGGAATATATCTAACCAGACACCATGCTGGGGTACAAGTGGAATATATCTAACCAGACACCATGCTGGGGTACAAATGGAATATATCTAACCAGACACCATTCTGGGGTACAAGTTGAATATATCTAACCAGACACCATGCAGGGGTACAAGTAAAGGTTATCTAACCAGACACCATGCTGGGGTACAAGTAAAGGTTATCTAAACAGACACCATGCTGGGGTACAAGTAAAGGTTATCTAACCAGACACCATGCTGGGGTACAAGTAAAGGTTATCTAACCAGACACCATGCTGGGGTACAAGTAAAGGTTATCTAACTAGACACCATGCTGGGGTACAAGTAAAGGTTATCTAACCAGACACCATGCAGGGGTACAAGTAAATGTTATCTAACCAGACACCATGCAGGGGTACAAGTAAAGGTTATCTAAACAGACACCATGCAGGGGTACAAGTAAAGGTTATCTAACCAGACACCATGCTGGGGTACAATTAAAGGTTATCTAAACAGACACCATGCAGGGGTACAAGTAAAGGTTATCTAACCAGACACCATGCTGGGGTACAAGTAAAGGTTATCTAACCAGACACCATGCTGGGGTACAATTAAGGTTACCTAAACAGACACCATGCAGGGGTTCAAGCAAAGGTTATCTAACTAGACACCATGCAGGAGTACAAGTGGAATACATCT